TCTTTAATGCTGCACTCAGCATTATTCCAGCTATATGACATGGTCTGTAAATATTAAATCTCTTATACCCCGCCACGAACAACACAGGCTGCACGTGGACTTCTCAGAGGAAGAATAAATCCCTTATACCCCGCTTCAAAGCAAAAAGCCTCATGCTTTTTCCCGAATTAATAGAAGTCACGATACATAGCACACGTTAACGTCAGCTCAATGGAACAGCTGTTTTCAATCAAGTTTGAATTTGTGCTCTTTCTTTTTCATTGTCACCATGGTCACATTAAAACATGTTGGTAAGATAAATTCTTGTAGCAGGATCACTTGGGGTACATGGGGTTTTATGCGTCACTCATAGGTTTTATACCATTCAACTCCGGATCGCATCTTCCTGAGGCAAGTGAGTTAACTGACTATAAAATTCCAGTTTCCACCCTTGCCGAACTAGGCTGGTATTATGGAGTTACATTTTGGCTGGACTAACGAGTCTATGCATAGTCCAATCAAAATCGCGCACCGAAATCGAAATCCGGTTCTTAAAGTGTCAAGCAGATTTTGGTCGACTGCAGGATTTGCAAAGCATGTGCATCGCTAACTCATTGTCAACAGATATTTTCTAAATCTTTTCATGCTTTTAATCAAGGTGCTCACGTGATTTGATGCACTTCGCGATGTAAGACTCGTTTTATCACAATATAGATCTTGATTATCAATCAGATCGTCTTGACTGGGCGCCACCGTTTTGTTTGAAGCAAATGCAAGTGATACCAGAGGATGAATCTGATTGGTCAATAGGTATAGAAAGGACAAAACTCGTAATAGCCACTGGTGGCGCTAAGATCGAGCCCAGGAATTTCAGCCTAGTTCGACAAGGGTGGAAACTGGACTTTTAAAGTCAGTTAACTCTCTTGCCTCGGGAAGATGCCGGATCGTGGTATAAAGCCTAACACGGGACACATAAAACAAATATGGGTAATTCTTCATACATTAACCAACATGTATGGTATTCACTTTTCTCTTGTCGGTGAGTATATTTAATATTACCAGATGTTTTTATTGATTTTGCGACCTTTAAACAATATTATTGTGTACAGTACTTGTTGATGTTCGTCAGTTGATGGAGACAGTGTGAATGAGCAAATGAACTGATTCAACATGTCAGGGATGGAAATTAGAGCTAGCCTTGTTTGACCAAGACCATTCTCTTTCAGATTAAATCCTCCTTGGGGCACTTATTGCATTTTCCTTGCTCAAGAAAATCTACATGACATAGTTGTAACCATTTTCCTTAATAAATAATGTTACCACACAAAAAACAACGTTTGGTTTCCCTGGCGGAGCTGGAGGCTTTTATCAACCCGAGGCTTTGTCCAGTGGACCTGTGCCCGTGAGCCAGGTGGGTTCACTTGAACCCCCAGCACCTCGGGACCGGGACCCGGTGTCAGACAGTCGGGGGATGCGAGGGCCCAGGCCTTAGGGTGCCCCCTTCCTATTCCGTCTACAACCTCTCTCGCCGAGGAGTCTGAGGCTACCTTCCGCTGGAGTCGAGGGATGAGGAGTGGATGGGAGGAGGGAGGGGATGACTCTGAGGTTGCAGGGAGCTTTTCCTTCGCATCCTCGCTGAGGCATGTCAGGGATAAGATTGTCCAAGTACTGCCTCAGGTGGCTGCCCCTATGCCTGTCTCGGATCCGTTCTGCCTTCCGCCTTCCGGGGGACGCTTTTGCTCCGTGCAAAGCGCCCCAGGTACGGCTCCGCATTTTGACCTCACTGGTACACGATGTCATCAATCCTCTGCTGTCGGGTGCCCGTAAAAGGTTTGATCTCCCCGAACTTACTAGGCGGTACCCGTTGGCAGAGGATTGTGACTTCGAGGTGCCGGTCGTGGACGAGTGCGTCTGGACTTCGGTGACCCTAGGGGGGTCTTCGACCTTTAACTTAGCCAAGGCTAAGCAGGGCCGAGCAGGGACGAGGTTCACAATCATCTGGCGAGGGATGCTATCCGTAGCTGCGCCTCCCAGATGATGAGCGCAGTCATGGGCATGCGCCGGCTGTGGATGTCCGTGTCCAAGTACTCGGCGTCCACACGCCAAGAACTACTCACCGGATCCTCGCTCCTCACAAGTGGAGGCTCGACCCGGGGATATTCGGGATAATCTCCCGATTATACGGGTCGTTCCAGGTGGATCTGTTTGCGTCTGGGGTGAACCACCAGACACCATGGTTCTGCTCCCAAGTCCCCGACCCGAGGTCGGCGGCACCGGACGCCTTCCAGCTAGGTTGGACGGACAGAGTTCTGTGGGCCTTCCCACCAGTTCCTCTGATTCCCAGGGTCCTTTCTCAGCTAGCCACTCAGCCTGCGCGGCTTCTTGTGCTACTGGCACCTCTTTGGTCGGCGCAGAGTTGGTTTCCCGTAATACTCAGGTTTCTGGCTCGGCCTCCTGTTCTATTACCTTTACGACAGGACCTCCTATCCCAAAACTGGGCACTCCACCCGAATCCCAGGATTCAGTGTGTGGCTTGGCCACTGTCAGGAATCGCCTCCAGGAGAGCGGTTTTCCTGCATGAGTTGCAGACACAATACTGGCTTCGCGGAGGGATTCGACAAACGTTCAATATGAGGATAGATGGGCCTGCTATGCGCGCTGGTGTGTCGACAAAGGGCATGCAGATCTCTTTTCTGCAGATCTAGTCGCGGTGTTAGAGTTCCTCCAATCACGACTTGATGCTGGCCTGGCCGCATCGACAGTCAGGGGGTACTCAACAGCCATTGCGGCTTTTAACGTCCCAATCGACGGGGCACTTCTGGGTGCGCACCCTTTAGTGCAGCGCTTTTTGGCAGGCGTGGACAGGATCCGACTGCCTGTCCGGCAGATCAGTCCTCCTTGGGACTTGTCAATCGTTCTTGATTGGCTGTCTGGTCCTTCCTTTCGGGATCTGTCGTCTCTCTCCCTTCAGCTGTTGAGCTAGAAGGCGGCGTTCCTTGTGGCGGTGGCGTCAGGTAGACGGTTAGGCGACATTCACGCAATGTCCGCCGATCCCGAGCTGACCGTCTTTCACCAGGACAGAGTCAGTATTCGCCTACCGGACACTTACCGTCCCAAGGTTGCACACGCTTTCCACGTGATGGCTCCTATCGAGCTACCTGCTCTTTCACAGCCTTCCTCGTCGGGGACCTCTGCAAGACATGCTCATGTTTCGGATGTCCGCAAGATTCTCAAGGTCTATATCAGCAAGACTAAGGATATCCGTAAGTATAACCAATTATTCTGCTGTTACGGCGGTGGGAAGGCTGGCTCCCCTGCGAGCAAACAATCTATTTCACGGTGGATTGTCTCTGCTATCTGTTCGGCGTATACAAACAAAGGGAGGGACCCCCCTGAGGGGTTGAAGGCTCATTCGGTTAGGGCAGTGGCTACGTCAAAAGCGTATGCCGCCTCTCTGCCCATTGAGGAGATCTGCTCCGCGGCTATTTGGAGCCGGCCGAGTACGTTCATCAAACACTACCAAATCGATAAACACTCCAGGGAGCGTGCTCGGTTCGGTCAGTCAGTTCTCCGCACTGGGCAGAGTTCTACATCTCTAGCCGATTGAGACTTCAAGATTTTAGAATGTCCCCCGGTTTTCTTGGCTTTGTAATGCTCCGTCTCCTCTCTTCTCTCCGGGAATGACTATTCTTCGGTAGCCATTACTAATCGATAATGCACTCGTTTTGCACACGACACTGGCTCGATCCTACGGGACCCTAAAGCCTGCATAGCTACCAGGCGTATTGTCCCTAGCGATTATTGTCCCCGTTATCACTTGTACAAAAGTGTGGGGGGGATGTTCTTGAGTTTTCACTCGTTTTATGATAAAGCCCACTACTGCAGCTTTTTTCATAGCGTATGGTCAGACCAGGCCCTGTCTCAAGCCCCCGCCTCTCGACGGTGGTGCCTCACAATAAGGTGGGTTCCATTTTTTTAATTCTCTATAGTCTTGTAAAACAATGTGATTATTTACACTCGTTGCAGACGGATGCCACTTCCTTATTATCTTTAGGAGTCTATCTTGATGCAATAAGTGCCCCAAGGAGGATTTAATCTGAAAGAGAATCGCACAAACCTGTAGAGGTTATGGATTCTCTGATGAAATGCTCCTTGGGGCACGGCTGCCCGCCTCCCCACATTCCGTCTGCTATGAGACATTGGAAATTTGATTTGGGTGAGAGTCGCTCCCCTTGGCGTGTGTCGCCTGTAGAGGGTGAGGCCCCATTGGGGTGGTCATATATCATACAAAAACGTTGTTTTTTGTGTGGTAACATTTGTTATTAAGGAAAATGGTTACAACTATGTCATGTAGATTTTCTTGAGAAAGGAAAATGCAATAAGTGCCCCAAGGAGGATTTCATCAGAGAATCCATAACCTCTACAGGTTTGTACGAATTTTGTTAAAGGTTGGTTGGGTGGTTTGTTATTTAACGCCGCACTCAACAATATTCCAGCTATATGACGACGGTCTGTAAATAATCAAGTCTGGACCAGACAATCCAGTGATTAATATCATAAGCATTGATCCACGCAATTGAGTTAGATGACATGCATCAACCATGTCAGCGAGCCTGACCCGCCGATCCCGTTAGTCGCCTCTTACGATAAGCATAGTCGCCTTTTACGGCAAGCATGGGTTGCTGAAGACCTATTCTACCCCGGATCTTCATGAGTCTTGTTAAAGGTAATCTAAGGGTAAGAAGAATGTCAACGATTGAGGGGTATTGCTATATGTTATCACTATTTGGGCTAGTAGACAGTTTTTGGTTCATTTCCATCCCAGCTTGTTTGTTTGAGTTGACGTACATCATCAAGTCCTAAAATGTTATCAAGTTTTTCGAAGGCATTTAGAAGTGATACACATAAGGAAGAGAATTTATCCACAACTAAGTTGACATCCATAAGTTCTCCTCCTATAATCTTATATATCCTTAATTATAACCTGGATGTTAGAAGAGGACATTTCTTCTCTGTTTCAGCTGTTCCGCCATGGTGACCGTAGTCCGACCCATGTGTACCCCACAGACCCCTATCAGGAGGACTCCTGGCCCCAGGGGTTTGGGCAGCTCTCCAAGGTTTGTTCACATCTTCAGATTCATTCTAGAGCCATGCCTCCACTGTCTCAATAATGACATTAGAATGATCTCAAATGTATGGGTGTCAATCAAGTGAATGGTTTCCAACACCAGGGATTTATTTACACCTGCTCCGAGGCCGATATCTGGTCCAAAGTCATCGGCTGGGACGGCTGTCTGTTTGTTTACAGTTTCAGCCTTCATTCTAGCAGCCTGTGCCAAAAACATTTAATCCAACTAGATATTTAGCTCGTCAAAAAAATTTCCACTGGTCCTGAGCATGCTGAGTTTAGTTTACTAGTTTGCATATGTTATAAGTTGTAGCAGGATCACGAGGGGTACATGGGGTTTTATGCGTCCCTTGTTAGGTTTTATATCAAAAGGCGGAGTCAGTTTTCTGAAATGATTTGTTTTCATGTCAGAGTACAGCATCCCACTGTTATGAGAACGTCACATTAACAGGAATTTTATTGTGTTGACTCAGTCAAAGATCCCCTCCACTCTATCTGTGTTGAAATAGTGTATAAAATTATGTTTGTCATATAAATGTTACAGGTTGGCATGCAGCAGATGTATGAAGTGGGTCAGTTCATCAGAACACGCTATGTAGGCGCTGGCTTCCTGACTGCTAACTACACAAACACAGAGGTGAGTCAGTTCATCAGAACACGCTACGTAGGTGCTGGCTTCCTGACTGCTAGCTACACAAACACAGAGGTGAGTCAGTTCATCAGAACACGCTACGTAGGCGCTGGCTTCCTGACTGCTAGCTACACAAACACAGAGGTGAGTCAGTTCATCAGAACACGCTATGTAGGTGCTGACTTCCTGACTGCTAGCTACACAAACACAGAGGTGAGTCAGTTCATCAGAACACGCTACGTAGGCGCTGGCTTCCTGACTGCTAACTACACAAACACAGAGGTGAGTCAGTTCATCAGATCATGCTACGTAGGTGCTGACTTTTTGACTGCTAGCTACACAAACACAGAGGTGAGTCAGTTCATCAGAACACGCTATGTAGGTGCTGGCTTCCTGACTGCTAGCTACACAAACACAGAGGTGAGTCAGTTCATCAGAACATGCTATGTAGGTGCTGACTTCCTGACTGCTAGCTACACAAACACAGAGGTGAGTCAGTTCATCAGAACACGCTATGTAGGTGCTGACTTCCTGACTGCTAGCTAGACAAACACAGAGGTGAGTCAGTTCATCAGAACACGCTATGTAGGTGCTGATTTCCTGACTGCTAGCTACACAAACACAGAGGTGAGTCAGTTCATTAGAACACGCTACATAGGTGCTGACTTCCTGACTGCTAGCTACACAAACACAGAGGTGAGTCAGTTCATCAGAACACGCTACATAGGTGCTGGCTTCCTGACTGCTAGCTACACAAACACAGAGGTGAGTCAGTTCATCAGAACACACTACATAGGTGCTGCTTTCCTGACTGCTAGCTACACAAACACAGAGGTGAGTCAGTTCATCAGAACACGCTACATAGGTGCTGGCTTCCTGACTGCTAGCTACACAAACACAGAGGTGAGTCAGTTCATCAGAACACACTACATAGGTGCTGCTTTCCTGACTGCTAGCTACACAAACACAGAGGTGAGTCAGTTCATCAGAACACACTACATAGGTGCTGATTTCCTGACTGCTAGCTACACAAACACAGAGGTGAGTCAGTTCATTAGAACACGCTACATAGGTGCTGACTTCCTGACTGCTAGCTACACAAACACAGAGGTGAGTCAGTTCATCAGAACACGCTACATAGGTGCTGGCTTCCTGACTGCTAGCTACACAAACACAGAGGTGAGTCAGTTCATCAGAACACACTACATAGGTGCTGCTTTCCTGACTGCTAGCTACACAAACACAGAGGTGAGTCAGTTCATCAGAACACGCTACATAGGTGCTGGCTTCCTGACTGCTAGCTACACAAACACAGAGGTGAGTCAGTTCATCAGAACACACTACATAGGTGCTGCTTTCCTGACTGCTAGCTACACAAACACAGAGGTGAGTCAGTTCATCAGAAATAATAATATGGTATACTTCCCAGGGAGTTCAAATTGAATGCTTGTTTGTTTGTATGTTGTTTAATGCCGCACTCAGCAATATTCCAGCTACATGACGGCGGTCTTTAAATTATCGAGTCTTGACCAGACAATCCAGTCTTTGACATCATGAGCATTGATGTACGTTATGTGGATATGATTACATGAATCAACCAAGTCAGCGAGCCTGACCACCCAATCCCGTTTGTCGCCTCTTACGACAAGCATGGGTTGCGGAAGACCAATTCTAACCCGGGATCTTCATGGGTCTCCAATTGATTTGTTAAACTGACAATAATGTCATGTGCTTCTAGTATGCCCTTTAAGAGTGTGGATCCTTGTGTCATGTACATGGCCGATTGACATGATTACTATTATGATTATTATTATGTTCTGTAGATTCGTGTTCAGAGCACAGACATTGACAGAACGTTGATGAGCGCCTACTGTGTTCTCACTGGCCTTTATCCACCAGAGGGCAGTCAAGTTTGGAATGGCACATTACCATGGCAACCAATACCAGTGCACACAGTTCCCCGATCAGAGGATTATGTAAGTGTTGTGTGACAGTCTATATCTAAAGTAAATACTAATTTGTTCATCTTCGCTGTTCACTGTACAGATTTGCATCTCTTGGACGCACAAGAAACCTATGTTTGTGGTTTCAAATCCCAGTTCATCACGATTATGTTTCTGGTTTGTCAGCCGCACCTGTGCTTGTGGGTTTCACCAAAGTGGTAAAAGTTTAAGACCGGTATCACTTCGGGTTCTCCTCCCAAATCAAGCTGACATGTCGTGATATAACTGGAATACTGTTCAAAGTGGTGTTAAACCCAACTCACTCACTCACTATATCTTAAAGTAAATACTAAATTGTTCAGCTGATGTTATGTGGGGCTGACTAGTGTGTCTCTCAAAATCTTGATAGTTGATAGCGCATGTGCCCAGAGAGCGGAAGGCTGGTGGTTCGATGCAAGGCCACATCATACCAAAAGACGTTAAAAGATGGTACTTATTGTTATGCTGCTTGACAGTATCAAGGGCCTAGATCAGTCAGTATACTGTGTCTGAGTAGGATATTCATGTTAAAACTATGCCACAGTATCTCAGTGGGATAGCACTCTAAAACTAGCCTTTGTCCGGACTAGGACAAGATCTTGAAGATGCTGTCGCACAATCTGATGATCCTGACCTCGGGTGGTGACTTTTGGTCTTCCACTTTGTGGTCGGTTATCTGTAGTGTTGGTGGTTTGGTACCGTTGCTGGGGCCTGTATATGGTCCTTACGTGGACTTAAAATGCATTGGCTACTTGCCGGGCGGTTTGTCCAGCTTGCAATCGTCAAAGGGCTTGGCGTTGCTGATTTCTTGTCAATCTTGGCATGTGGTAGCAATTCAATAACAAATGAATGTTATCCGGTCTGAGTGGACTTTTATAGGGCACAAAATGGGGGAACACGTGCATTTCAATTTGCACGGAACTCACGTGCATTGGCTTACCATGGCCCTTGCCGTGATGCGTTTAGGCGATCGGTTTTATTGTCCTCTGCTTTGTTTTTTATCATCAAATTTCATTTTTCCGGACAAGGTAATGTTAAATTTTAGAAACTTTGACAAACATTACCCAGATATTTAAATGACAACTTTTCATGCAATGTTACTTTGGATGACATGCATGTACTTCGCTATATAAGTGCATGTACTTCGCTATATAAGTGCATGTACTTCGCTATATAAGTGCATGTACTTCGCTATATAAGTGCAATGAACGTGACGTTAACCCCATTTCACCCACATCCCACATCTTCATGTTTTAAAGATACAAAAGGGAATACCATATCATTAAATAGCTTCATACATACAGGTCCCTATATGGCTGAAATAATGCTGATTCGTCGTTAAAACTCACTCACTCATATATACAAAATATGTATCCTTGTTAAATGAGTAAATAAGACTGATGAGACGCGACTGATACTGATGTGACTTTGCCGTTAAATGACGATGATATACCTTGGCATGGCTTGACTGGGATTTATCTTGATGATTTTGACGGTAAAAGCTGCATCTGCACTGCCCGGCCTATGAGAAGGCGTACGAGGAGATGATGAAGAGTCCCCCCGTGATTCAGATACAGAATGAACACAAGGTAGGTTGACAGCGGTATAAACTAACAGTGTTAGTCCACTCGTCTTATAATGATAACATATAGCAAAACACTTAAAAAGGGCAAACTTCTACCAGTCCTTATGATACCTTAACTAGTGGCCAATTTCTAACACTGGTTGACTGGATCAAGGGTGAGTCTACATTCACATGGCTGTCCAGTTTACATGGTTGCGAAAGCATGTCCATCACTGGCTTTATATGATTGTGATATTAATTAACATTGTCACAATGTTTAAAAATTTAATATACCGTATTTGACGTAATAAGCACCCCGCTCTAATAAGCGCCCACGGCGATAATTTGCTAATAAATTGGCAAGTGAACAATCCCAATTAGCACCCCTTCCGATTGATCAATGTACACAAAACTTATTTATTCGTGTATAATACGCACTCGCGTGTTATATGCACCCTTAACTATGGGCAATCAAATTCTGGAAAAACATATCTGTCGTATATAAACAGTCAAATTTATCTTTCAACTCTGTTTTTTCCACCAAAATAATATTCTAATAAGAGCCCCCTATTTCTAATTTTGAGAGCGCCCTGGGCGCTTATTATGTCGAATACGGTAATTTCAAAGTGTGGGATTTGGAGTTCAAGTCTGGGGATATATTGTTACAATGTAACCAGGCCATTACAGTTCTAACAACCCACTGTGGCTCTAATACAAGGTTCAAATCCCAGTACCGCCTCCGTGGTCTAGTGATAGAGCGTCCGCCTGGAGACAGGAAGGACCCGGTTTTAACCCTGGCCGTGTCATACCAAAAGATGTAAAAAGATGATACTTTTTGCTACCCTATACTTGTTGTTACCCTGTCTGGCGCTGACTGGTCTGCTTGGAGTCAGTATACTGTCTGATTGGGGTATTCATGTTGAACTGCGGCATGGTGTCTCAGTGGGCTAGCACTACAAAATCGGCATCAGTCCGGACTTGTAAAAGCAGCCACACACACTCACACACACACATGCATGGACGTCTTATATAAGTGCAATAATCTTGGACACGACATTGAACCACATTTCACCTCCCCTCACCTTGAATCCCGGTTCTCCACGATTATGTTTCTAGGTTTGTCAGCACCATACCAGTGATTGGGGTTACACCAAAGGGTAAACGTCCAAGACCTGCATCACTTCGGGCTTTAAACCCACATTAGGCTGACATGCTATGCTATATCTGGAGTACTACTCAAAGAGGCTTAAAACCCAACTGACTCATGCTCTCTAATACAAGGAATTTCAAACCCTGGGGTGAAATGCCATGGACAGTAATAGGGGAACAATTAATCTGATATTTGTTTCCACCTTAATGGTAGTTTCCTGTTTATTTAACATATATGTCAGATCAGCTGAACTGTAACATACCAGATTTACTTATTACATCTAACCGGGGGCACGGGTGGCCCAGTCGTCCAAGGCGCTGCGATTCGCTGTGCAGAGTTGCATCCCTTGGGCACGCCAGAAACCTATGATTGTGGGTTCGAATCCCGGTTCGCCCCGATTATGTTTCTAGGTTTGTCAGCACCATACCTGTGCTCGTGGGTTTCACCGAAGTGGTAAACCTCTGACACCTGCATCACTTCGGGCTTTCGTCCCACATTAAGCTGACATGCCTTAATATAACTGGAATACTGTTAAAAACGGCGTTAAACCCAACTCACTCACTATTACATCTGACCAGTTAATATAGCTTGTTTCTGATCCATCCATCTTTTATGTCCAGGATCTTATAGACTATATCTCCCAGCATGCTGGTCTGAGTGCTACACTTGACAGTCTACTCCTGATAATGGATCCTCTCTTGTGTGAGGTATGTTTAGCAAGTTGCTGCCATTACAATAAAAAAATATATCATTCTGGTATAGGCTGTTTGGTATGAACTATGGCTGACTTGCAGACCCAGCATAAAAGGCTGCAGACAATTGTTCTTAAATAGATAAATCTTTCAGAAACTTCGACTCAAATTTCCCTGCATTGATATCTTTACAGAATACATTTAGTTTGTCTCAGTCCTGGGCCCGAGGTTATAAAAAAAAATTCGTGCTCAACTCAGTCAAAAACTTCATCCACATCTAAATCTTCCAGCGGGTTAGAACGATCTCGAAAGACTCTCGGAACACGGGTGTTCCGCCTCGCTTGTCGCGTCTGTCGCAGGTGAGCTGCCATTGTTGTTGTCGAACTCAGCGTTGAGCACGGTCCAAAGCGTACTTGAGATCGTACGGATTTCATGCTCAAGTTGAGCACGAAAACGTACTCAGATTATTTATAACCTCCGTTTATTGAGTCTGAGTTTTGAGTTGAGCACGAAACCGGATTTGAGCATGAAATCGTACTCAGGGAAGTTTTATAACCTCGGGGCCTGGTCTCTCATACAGACCCAGAAATAAATATATCCAAAACAGCCCATGCAAGTCTAGATTACTGCAGTTTCTTGACTCCCTTGTATTATATTTTAAGATCATTTAACAACTGTTTTTTTTCTGTAAAATATGTTTGTTTAAGAGACTAGATGTTAGTCTATCTCAGTCCCTGAACCATATTATTTCCCCATGTACCCAGCACTTACAGCAAGTACAGCAATGCTATAGCCCTAAAATGAAGCAAGTCTAGATTTAACATAGGTTCTGAATCTCCCATCGCACTGCAGCTGGGGCACCTTTCCAATTTAAATGGAGTTGTTTGTTTCTGTCTAGAGTATATATTTTCGGAGACTAAGCGTTAGTCATACAATACAATGTGCTCTGAGATGTAACTATCTGTTCTAACCTTAATGTCTACCTCCGTGAAGATCCGGGTTAAAATTGGTCTTCAGAAACCCACGCTTGTCATAAGAGGCGACTAACAGGATCGGGTGGTCAGGTTTGCTGAAATAGGTTGATGCATGTCATCGTATCCCCATTGCGTGGATCGATGCTCATGATGTCAATCACTGGATTGTCTGGTCCAGACTTGATTATTTACTGACCGCCGTCATATAGCTGGATTATTGCGGATTGTGGCGTTAAAACACAAATAAACAAACAAACAAACAAACAAACAAAACATGCGTGCATGTGTGGACAGTTATCTAGATTTCCACCCTATTCATGTTTTTTTCATGCAGTGACGTTTATGGCAATCTACTTTAGCGGATATTTGATTTTGTTTTAGCATGAGATAAACATATTGATAAGGCAGAATTCTTACACTTTGTCTTTGAAGATGCAATTAAAACTTATCAGTGATGTTTGATATGTCCAGCAAATACACATGAAGCCCTATCCATCATGGCTGACAGTAAACAACACTGCAGACAAAATCCTCCAGCTGTTGGATCTGAAAGGCCAACTGAGGACAAAGACACCCGAACTTGTTCGCATCAGGGGAGGTAAGTCAGTCTTTCAGACTATGAGAAAAATATGAAATTATTATCTCTTGCCACGAAGTGAGTGAGTGAGTGAGTTGGGTTTAACGCTGTTTTTAACAATATTCCAGTTATATCACTGTGTGTCAGCTTAATGTGGGAGGAAAGCCCGAAGTGATGCAGGTCTCAGATGTTTAACACTTTGGCAAAACCCACGAGCACGGGTATGGTGCTGACAAACCTAAAAACATAATCGGGGCGAACCGGGATTCGAACCCACAATCATAGGCTTCTGGCGTGCCCAAGGGATGCAACTCTGCACAGCGAATCGCCGCGCTTTAGACGAATGGGCCATCCGTGCCCCCTGCTGGGAAGTGGAAGGGGGTTCTAAGAATGGGTACTGTCGGTCCGTCCTTCCTTTTCATCTGTCCGTCAGGTTTTGTTTCCAGAACAGAACTCATAAACCATGAGAGATAGCTGAAACAAATTTTGCACATAGCTGGGTCTAGTGGTGAACTGGTGCCTTTTGATATTTTGGGATTTAAAAAAAATTAATTTTTTGAGTTTCCATGGCAATGACTTTAACTTAATGAAAATGATGGTAGTGGTCGTTTCAGGAGCAGATCTTGGAAACTGTAAATATTTCTTGCCTTGCACACAACCGGACTTGTCAATTTGGTGGGTGATATCTATGTACTGGACTTTATTAACCGCTATATAATCTGATCGCTTGTGAGATGCTTGTGCAATAATTGGCGTGGACAGAATCAGTACGTCTAAAGTCAGGTGTCATGATGTCATATGAAAACAGGACCTGTAGTGCCCTCAGGATGAGGGCATTGTCAAATTACAGTCATCTCCACATTTTTTGATCAGATGATGGGCATTTTATGATAATTCTATCAATATTTGCTTTTGAGTGCAATATATTACTTCTGACGCAGTTACAGGAAGCTTGCCTCATATTCTTCCAAATGTGATGGTATATTTTCCCATTATGATTTGGCCATTGCCAGTATGGTCATAGAAATTATAGTTTTGACATATGAAAGTATTTGTTGCTTCTGTTTTTCATACAGTGATTTCACTGTGCAGACGTCCCTTGGGCAGAAACCTATGATTGTTGGTTCGAATCCTGGTTCGTCCCAATTAGGTTCTCGGTTTCTAGGTTTGTCAGCACCATACCCATACTCATGGGTTTCACCAAAGAGACCTGCATCACTTTGGGCTTTCCTCCTTCATTACACGCTGATGATTCGCTGTGCAGAGTTGCGTCCCTTGGGCACGCTAGAAACCTATGATTGCGGGTTCGAATACCGGTTCGCCCCGATTATGTTTCTAGGTTTGTCAGTACCATACCAGTGTTTGTGGGTTTCACCGAAGTGGTAAACGTCTGAGACCTGCATCACTTCGGGCTTTCCTCCCACATTTAGCTCACACGCCGTGATATAACTGTAATAGTGTTAAAAGCATGTTAAACCCAACTCACTCAAAGCAGTGATAAACCAAACATACTCATTCCTTCTGACATTGATAGCCATAACGTAAAGCTCTGCTTATTTCAAAATATTTTACTGCTCCCATCATGTCAGTTACATTCATTCTTTTTATTGTTTTACTTGACGTCACTCTCCACCTTCGTCATTTCTGCTGTTCCTGTGACAATCAACCTTATGCAATGCATGAATGCTGAGAGTTAATTCCCTTCACTCCCCTTCAAGCGCACATGCTGACATTACACTGATATAGTATTAGGCTAAGCGCAGTGAAAAACTCCATCGAATCACTTTAGGGGAACGAACAGAAGATTGATAACAAACTTAGTCGATGTAATTATAAAAATTGCAATAAAACATCACTAGACATAATAATTTACCCTTTCAATTATATTTTCTGTTCTGCTAGGCATTCTTTTCTATGCTGAGATTAAGGTTTCCGTGTGTATTTGTTGCGTAAGCTAAGCCGGGTATTGCAAACAGCTGTACATACATTTTCTCCCAGATCTACTGTTGACTATGAAGTTTTGAACATAATTAATCAAATAGGTAACTCTTTATAACCAGATAGTGTACTAACAGGATTAACATGCATTATTTGGCAAAAGCCTCCCGCCTCAAATTGATAGAAAAGGGGAAGACATCATCATAATTTTACAACAAATATATTATGGTAAAGGTCATAAAATATTATTTTTGTATTTAATACAGAACGATTTTATTCACTGATATCCTAATTAGTTCTGATGAAAATTGATTTTTTTATTATTTTGAAAATGAGTAAATCATTTTATCAAAATTATCTGTTGTTTGGCAGAGAAAGTTGTCCAAACATTACGTCTTTTAAATGTACATTTCAGGGAACACCTCAACATGATGTTTTTCACTTGAAATATTCAATGTTTTTTCGAAAATTTGTAAAAAGATCAGAAAGAAATGTTAAAAATATAATTTAGCATTGCTGCATGCACAAATAATGGTCAAGTGTTAAAATCTACTTTTAGTTTATTATAGCAATGTTTAACCGAGATACATGTACTGTAAGATGTAGGGATATGAAGTGTGGTCAACAAGAATTAATAAGGTAATGATTCTAGTGATACTTTCTGATAAATATGTAAAGGGTTTGACAGCTAATTAGTCAATTCCCAAAAACCTCGCAAGTAAATCATCAAATCTCGCACAGTCTCACACGAAGGTCGCCAAAGAGCCCTGAGGCCCATCCCTCAGTATATGGTCTCTGGCTAGCATTATAAAACTGGCATTAGTCCGGACCAGTACAAGCAGCCACATACACACACATGCATCGCAATATAAATGCAATAGTCCTGATCACAATGTTAATCCCCGGTTCTCATCACCCGTCCGTCTACATCAAATCTCATTAAAATCAGATCTTAGTTCTCGCTATCGCTAAACAAAGATCTGAGGACATCCCATTACGGGTCACGTCAGCCCGACCTTTCATCGAACCAATCAGAGCGTCGCTTACCAGATCCTGAAAGTGACAGTCAGAATGTGTTTTCTAGTCATGCAACCTCGAAATATTTAACAGAGGGTATTCCGAACGACAATTACGATTATTTCCATACAATCTATGCCATCTATAAGCCATTCCAGAATGTTGTTTTGGTCAGTTTTAAAAATATGTTTCGAAGCATAGTCGCCAGTTTGAAACTAGTGCCGTAAAGCTCGAGATAGCTGCCTTCTGATTGGTCAATGTTCGCGAAAGGTCGTTCTGGCGTGACCCATAATGGGTATGTCCTCAGATCTTTGGTTAGCGGTAGCGAAAACTAAGATCTGATTTTAATGAGATTGGTCTACATCAGCTGGTATTGACTCAGACCATCTTCCTATGCCCACAGGTCCACTGCTTGGAAGAATAATACAGAATATGAAAGACCAGATCACTAATAATTTGACAAAGAAGGCCCTTCTCTTCTCCGCAGTGAGTTTCCACTATTTGCCTTTATTGAGAAATGTTTTAATCACTTTGAAATCATGGACTGTAAACATAAGCTTTATCTTTCTGTAACTGGATAAACAATGGAGCCAAACTATATGTGTGTGTTTCCAGGTTCCTGACTGACCCTAATCTGGATTCTCTGACCCTAAACTTTTTTTTCTTGTTTTTCTTGTTTTTCTTGAGTTACACCACAGCTTTTGTCACCATGGATGAGAATTTTCCACCGAATCCCGGGGATTTCATAACATCAATAGTCATTACAGTATTAACATAATAAATAGAACGAAGCATGGCTTATTTCACGATAAAATATTGCGCTCACAACTTGATGACATTATCTTTTAGAGGGTAATGTCTAGTGAGTTGTTCCCCGTAGATGTAGCAGTGCAATGCAGATAAACACGATGGCTGAACGATCACATCCAAAACTGGGAGAGATATGACAATCGGTATTGGGAGAAATGATACAGGTCATCAATGTGGGGATTGTGAGAATATGTCGGAAATACCCACCTGTGCATAAAATGGACTTGTCTGAAATTGCTGAAGTCGGATTCTATTGAGGGAGTCATCATGATTTAAATAGGGGTTAATAGTTTTAAAGCTTGTACATTTTATCAACCTTCTGAAAGAGGCTGTACATAATGTTGATGTCTCATGTAAGAAATAAACAACTCATGGTCATTGTTTTTTGTACAATAAAACACTGCAGGGTGAAAAAAAACATGAGTGGCTAAGACACTGCAGGGAGAATAAACCATGAAGGGCTGTGCAGTGTTTTATTGTACGATAAACAACGACCACAAGTCGTTTATTTCTTAATGATACTGTTTCCCAGACCCTAGGCTAATATTTAGTGTTTTTTTAAAAGAAAGTTTCTCATCCCTGTATCACCATCATGGTATTGTCTGTATTATGTGCCACCAGCTGAACTTTGACATGCTTCAATATTGATAAATCAGTCATTAAAATAAAATAAGAACAAAAACTAAAGCTGACATGGTTACCCTATTATTGGATGTGTGGAAATGGAAACACACATATGTTTAGGGTGGAGCTTAATGCCAAGCTCTGAAAATCTTTAGAGAACATAAATTGACTTCCGTCTGTTCTCCCCTTCAGCATGACTCCACAATCGAAGCCTTTCTTAGTACCATGAATGCATTCAATGGTCTCTACATCCCCTACGCAGCCAGTGTCTACGTGGAACTACACGTCATCAATGATGCTCCAGTTGTGAAGGTGTTGTACAGAAATGACACCACTGCTGAACCCTATGTGCTCAAAATAAAAGGTAATGGACAAACTTCTATCATAACTTTCTGTGGTAGGGTAAGGTTATAAGAACGTGAAAATTTTATTGATCCAGCAATCATGGTAAAATTTGATACTTTGGTACTTTGATAAGCTTGAAACGTCTTTCTATTACAGTAATTCTTGTGCGAACTTGAAGATCCAGGGTAGAATAGGTATTCAGCAACCCATGCTTACGTTAAAAGGTGACTAAGAGACAACTAACGGGATTGGGTTGTCAGGCTCTCTGACTTGGTTGATGCATATCATTGTATCCCAATTGCGTAGATCGATGCTCATAATGTCAATCACTGGATTGTCTGGTCCAGACTCGATTATTTACAGACCACCATCATATAGCTGTAATATTGCTGAGTGCGGCGTTAAACAACTAACAAACAAACAAAAATTCTTGTGCAACATTTGGATTCTAAATCCTGTTATGTGATTGGATTTGAATGTTTGAGCCCTGTTATGTGATTGGATTTAAATGTTTGAGCCCTGTTATGTGATTGGATGTGAATGTCTGAGTCCTGTTATGTGAGTTGATGTGAATGCTTGTGCCCTGTTATGTGATTGGATTTGAATGTTTGAGTCCTGTTATGTGATTGGATTTGAATGTTTGAGTCCTGTTATGTGATTGGATTTGAATGTTTGAATCATGTTATGTGATTGGATTTGAATGTTTGAGTCCTGTTATGTGATTGGATTTGAATGTTTGAGTCCTGTTATGTGATTGGATTTGAATGTTTGAATCATGTTATGTGATTGGATTTGAATGTTTGAGTCCTGTTATGTGATTGGATTTGAATGTTTGAGTCCTGTTATGTGATTGGATTTGAATGTTTGAGTCTTGTCATGTGATTGGATTTGAATGTTTGAATCATGTTATGTGATTTGATTTGAATGTTTGAGTCCTGATATGTGATTGGATTTGAATGTTTGAGTCCTGTTATGTGATTTGATTTGAATGTTTGAGTCCTGATATGTGATTGGATTTGAATGTTTGAATCATGTTATGTGATTGGATTTGAATGTTTGAGTCCTGATATGTGATTTGATTTGAATGTTTGAGTCCTGTTATGTGATTTGATTTGAATGTTTGAGCCCTGTTATGTGATTGGATTTGAATGTTTGAGTCTTGTCATGTGATTGGATTTGAATGTTTGAGCCCTGTTATGTGATTGGATTTGAATGTTTGAGTCCTGTTATGTGATTGGATTTGAATGTTTGAGTCCTGTTATGTGATTGGATTTGAATGTTTGAATCATGTTATGTGATTGGATTTGAATGTTTGAGTCCTGTTATGTGATTGGATTTGAATGTTTGAGTCCTGTTATGTGATTGGATTTGAATGTTTGAATCATGTTATGTGATTGGATTTGAATGTTTGAGTCCTGTTATGTGATTGGATTTGAATGTTTGAGTCCTGTTATGTGATTGGATTTGAATGTTTGAGTCTTGTCATGTGATTGGATTTGAATGTTTGAATCATGTTATGTGATTTGATGTGAATGTTTGAGTCCTGATATGTGATTGGATTTGAATGTTTGAGTCCTGTTATGTGATTGGATTTAAATGTTTGAGTCCTGATATGTGATTGGATTTGAATGTTTGAATCATGTTATGTTATTGGATATGAATGTTTGAGCCCTGTCATGTGATTGGATTTGAATGTTTGAGCCCTGTCATGTGATTGGATTTGAATGTTTGAGCCCTGTTATGTGATTGGATTTGAATGTTTGAGTCCTGTTATGTGATTGGATTTGAATGTTTGAGCCCTGTCATGTGATTGGATTTGAATGTTTGAGCCCTGTCATGTGATTGGATTTGAATGTTTGAGTCCTGTTATGTGATTGGATTTGAATGTTTGAGTCCTGTTTTGTGAGTTGATGTGAATGTTTGAATCATAATATCAACCACTGGTTTGTCTGCTGGGGACTTCATTATTGACAGGCCGTCATCATACATCTGGAACCCTGTGGAACTCTCTTCCTCTCTCCATAAAATCAGCTGAGACAACTTCAAGAAAACAAAGAGACAAAGCCTCTTTTATTCCCTTAGACTCCTTTATAACAGCGCCACTTAGCAGCTCTCAAGTTGAAGCCAGGTGTTTTTTTAATCAATTATTATTGATAATTATATCTGGGTATGGAGTTAAAAAAAGTGTTTATACTACAGGTTGCGGGGACCACTGCACTGTGTCGAAACTGGAACAACTGACTAAGCATATGATACCAGCCGATCCCAAGGCCACCTGTGAGGGGGACACACACAGGGAGCACGTGTCAGGTAGGGTATTCTAGGGGACACACACAGTACACACAGGGAGCACGTGTCAGGTAGGGTATTCTAGGATTGCCACATGTGAGGGGGACACACACAGTACACACAGGGAGCATGTGTCAGGTAGGGTATTCTAGGATTGCCACATGTGAGGGGGACACACACAGTACACACAGGGAGCATGTGTCAGGTAGGGTATTCTAGGGGACACACACAGTACACACAGGGAGCACGTGTCAGGTAGGGTATTCTAGGATTGCCACATGTGAGGGGGACACACACAGTACACACAGGGAGCATGTGTCAGGTAGGGTATTCTAGGATTGCCACATGTGAGGGGGACACACACAGTACACACAGGGAGCATGTGTCAGGTAGGGTATTCTAGGATTGCCACATGTGAGGGGGATACACACAGTACACACAGGGAGCATGTGTCAGGTAGGGTATTCTAGGATTGCCACCTGTGAGAGGGACACACACAGTACACACAGGGAGCATGTGTCAGGTAGGGTATTCAAGGATTGCCACATGTGAGGGGGACACACACAGGGAGCATGTGTCAGGTAGGGTATTCTAGGATTGCCACATGTGAGGGGGACACACACAGTACACACAGGGAGCATGTGTCAGGTAGGGTATTCTGGGATTGCGAAAAGTGAGGGGGACACACACAGTACACACAGGGAGCATGTGTCAGGTAGGGTATTCTAGGATTGCCACATGTGAGGGGGACACACACAGTACACACAGGGAGGACGTGTCAGGTAGGGTATTCTGGGATTGCGAAAAGTGAGGGGGACACACACAGTACACACAGGGAGCACGTGTCAGGTAGGGTATTCTGGGATTGCGAAAAGTGAGGGGGACACACACAGTACACACAGGGAGCATGTGTCAGGTAGGGTATTATAGGATTGCCACAAGTGAGGGGGACACACACAGTACACACAGGGAGCATGTGTCAGGTAGGGTATTATAGGATTGCCACCTGTGAGGGGGGACACACACAGTACACACAGGGAGCATGTGTCAGGTAGGGTATTCTAGGATTGCCACCTGTGAGGGGGGACACACACACTACACACAGGGAGCATGTGTCAGGTAGGGTATTCCAGGATTGTCACATGTGAGGGGGGCACACACAGTACACACAGGGAGCATGTGTCAGGTAGGGCATTCTGGGATTGCCACATGTGAGGGGGACACACACAGTACACACAGGGAGCATGTGTCAGGTAGGGTATTCTAGGATTGCCACCTGTGAGGGGGACATAAACAGTACACACAGGGAGCATGTGTCAGGTAGGGTATTCTAGGATTGCCACATGTGAGGGGGACACACACAGTACACACAGGGAGCATGTGTCAGGTAGGGTATTCTAGGATTGCCACCTGTGAGGGGGACACACACAGTACACACAGGGAGCATGTGTCCGGTAGGATATTCAAGGATTGCCACATGTGAGGGGGACACACACAGGGAGCATGTGTCAGGTAGGGTATTCTAGGATTGCCACCTGTGAGGGGGACATACACAGTACACACAGGGAGCACTTGTCAGGTAGGGTATTCTAGGATTGCCACATGTGAGGGGGACACACACAGTACACACAGGGAGCATGTGTCAGGTAGGGTATTCTAGGATTGCCACCTGTGAGGGGGACACACACACTACACACAGGGAGCATGTGTCAGGTAGGGTATTCTAGGATTGTCACATGTGAGGGGGACACACACAGTACACACAGGGAGCATGTGTCAGGTAGGGTATTCTAGGATTGCCACCTGTGAGGGGGACATACACAGTACACACAGGGAGCATGTGTCAGGTAGGGTATTCTAGGATTACCACATGTGAGGGGGACACACACAGTACACACAGGGAGCATGTGTCAGGTAGGGTATTCAAGGATTGCCACATGTGAGGGGGACACACACAGTACACACAGGGAGCATGTGTCAGGTAGGGTATTCAAGGATTGCCACATGTGAGGGGGACACACACAGTACACACAGGGAGCATGTGTCAGGTAGGGTATTCTAGGATTGCCACATGTGAGGGGGACACACACAGTACACACAGGGAGCATGTGTCAGGTAGGGTATTCTAGGATTGCCACATGTGAGGGGGACATACACAGTACACACAGGGAGCATGTGTCAGGTAGGGTATTCTAGGATTGCCACATGTGAGGGGGACACACACAGTACACACAGGGAGCATGTGTCAGGTAGGGTATTCTAGGATTGCCACATGTGAGGGGGACACACACAGTACACACAGGGAGCATGTGTCAGGTAGGGTATTCTAGGATTGCCACCTGTGAGGGGGACACACACAGTACACACAGGGAGCATGTGTCAGGTAGGGTATTCTAGGATTGCCACCTGTGAGGGGGACATACACAGTACACACAGGGAGCATGTGTCAGGTAGGGTATTCTAGGATTGTCACATGTGAGGGGGACACACACAGTACACACAGGGAGCATTTGTCAGGTAGGGTATTCTAGGATTGCCACCTGTGAGGGGGACACACACAGTACACACAGGGAGCATGTGTCAGGTAGGGTATTCTAGGATTGTCACATGTGAGGGGGACACACACAGTACACACAGGAAGCATGTGTCAGGTAGGGTATTCAAGGATTGCCACATGTGAGGGGGACACACACAGGCAGCATGTGTCAGGTAGGGTATTCTAAGATTGCCACATGTGAGGGGGACACACACAGGCAGCATGTGTCAGTTAGGGTATTCTAGGATTGCCACATGTGAGGTAGACACACACAGGGAGCATGTGTCAGGATGGGGATTCTAGGATTGCCACATGTGAGGGGGACACACACAGTACACACAGGGAGCAAGTGTCAGGTAGGGTATTCTAGGATTGCCACAAGTGAGGGGGACACACACAATACACACAGGGAGCATGTGTCAGGTAGGGTATTCTAAGATTGCCACATGTGAGGGGGACATACACAGTACACACAGGGAGCATGTGTCAGGTAGGGTATTCTAGGATTGCCACATGTGAGGGGGACACACACAGTACACACAGGGAGCATGTGTCAGGTAGGGTATTCTAGGATTGCCACATGTGAGGGGGACACACACAGTACACACAGGGAGCATGTGTCAGGTAGGGTATTCTAGGATTGCCACATGTGAGGGGGACACACACAGTACACACAGGGAGCATGTGTCAGGTAGGGTATTCTAGGATTGCTGTTTGATGTAGGAGGTTAGGAACACACTCTACTTCGCGGATAGCCTGCAGGGTGTCTTGCTTCTATGAAAGCTTGTAGACAGATTTATTTAGACCTCCTCAGAGGCTGATATTGGACCCCATATTTGCAGCATCTGTCTGTAAATGTTCCCAAATAGGAGTTAAAAAGTTTGTATTTCATGTAAATATAGTTATAGCTCATATGATGCTTGGTAGAGGAGAGTCTCGTGGTTGAAGCGTTTGTTCATCACACTGAAGGCCTGGGTTCGATTCCCGACATGGGGACAATGTGGGAAGCCCATTTCTGGTGTCCCCCGCCGTGATATTGCTGGAATAGTGCTAAAAGCGGCTTAAAATGATACTCACTCACTCACTGTTGGAGGAGACTAGTATTCCACTGGTAACAGGACCAACAAAGAGGATGCTTCATTGAACATGATGGTATTGATTGCAATATTAAAATGCTGTGTAAAAATACCTGAAGAAAATTTAAACTTTTGAGAAAAATAACAAATGCTTTCAAAATGTTCCTGGCAAGATCACTGAGTTTGGAATCCTAGATTCATCCCTGCTACATCGTGGCTTCCCTCGTCTGTCCAACAGGAGCAACAATAGCTGTAGCTGTCCTCATCCCGGTACTCCTGGCAGTATTCCTGGCCATCCTGGCAGTGAGGTTTATGCAAGAGAGGAAGCGACAGGCTTTGTACCGATACCGACCGGTCAACGAACACTTGTGACTAGCACGATGGCGGATCTGTCGGATCAGAAACATTCCACTTTTTATCAAATCTTGTTTTTTGCAAGTTGCAAGATGTTTTCCTCGCAAAAAATTCAAATGATATGAGACTCCCTTTTTTCATATACTAGATCTGATACAGTTGTATTATTTTCTGATTCAGAGCTGCTTGACCGAAGATTCAATATGAAGTGTTTTTCATCTATATATACAATACATATCACCATTGGGTGATCATCTTCCCGAGGCAAAGGTGTTCACTGACTGTTAAAGTCCAGTTTCCACCCTTGCCGAACTCGGCTGGATTTTCCAGGCTCCATCGTAGTGCCTCCAGTGGCTTTTACAAGTTATATCCCTTCTATGTCCCTCCTATTGACCAATCAGATTCAACCTCTCATATCATTTGCATTTGCTTCTAACAAAATGGCAAAAATCCATGTTGTTTTCGAACCGGGTGCCTAGTTGGTCACGCGAGTTTGATAGGTCCAAAATGTAACTCCGGAATACCAGCCTAGTTGGGCAAGGGTGAAAACTGGACTTTTGAAGTCAGTTAACTCCCTTGCCTGAGGAAAATGTTGGTTGATTCCCATGTCATCTTCCAGACCAGACCAGTATGTTTACTTGTCTTTCAGTTAAGCCATCCAATCCATTTGGGGATAAATTGTAAAACAAGTAACAGGGCTCAATTTGAAAAATGCAACCTAATAGTCATGTCTACATGCACCAAGTACATGTCAAAAATATTCTGACTAACCCTTACTTGTCCACCCAACAACGATCTTTAAACACACACTCCATACCTTAGAATCTTAGCTTTATGTACCATCCTACATCACTAATCCATGTGTTATGTGTAATTCATGACACAGCCATCTAAGATCGGAGATTGTACATTATATTTAGACTAGTTTATGCATCCATGTTTCAACTTTTATAAATTTTTGTTACCAAGGTGCAACCTGGTTTTTGCAACTAGCTTTTGATGTCTACATGCATCTGGTGCAAGTTAAATCAATTTCCTGAAATCGAGCCCTGAGTAAGAAACTTTGTCTAGCCTCAATGTGCCATGTTCAGGAAGAGGTTTTAACATTAATACCTTGTCGACAGTAGCTTGGTGGAGGAACTTCATTCTAGTCATTCTACTTTTGTAGATTGAAACTCTGACATTCTACATAAACATCATGAAGGTAATAAGTCCCCCCAAAACCAAAAGGCTGTTTCTGGTTTCCATGCCAACCTTCACCTGGAGCCCGGACCCTGAGTTTTTCCTCGTTTCTTGAGTTGCACGACAGCTTTTTCACCATCCTGGTATATTGTTCGTATCTTACGCCACTGGCATAATTATCTTGGGCAAATACAGCAAATTACCATTTTCCCCACCTGTTTATCCTCATTTAGGTTGGCCTGAAATTGGAAACACACATTTTTTGACCTAACATAACATTCCCAAGCTTGAAAAATATGTTATCAGTATTACAGAATATTTCTGTACAGTCGAAGAAGAGGATGACAGGTCTTTTGAAGGGATGTTTGATCATTTAATTAAACGTCACATAGAATCTGTGTACTGATTTTGTAAGATGTGAACCTTGTGGTGAATAATTGAAATTCAACATTGAATTTAGACATAAAATTCAACATTGCTGTCAGAACATTTCAACACTGACATTCAACACTGACATTCAACAATGACATTCAACACTGACATTCAACACTGACATTCAACAATGACATTCAACAATGACATTCAACAATGACATTCAACATGGTAATTGATAATTATCACAACAGTGCATGTCTCAAAATGGCTGTGGCAGAAGATGAATTATGATAAGAATATTGAAATATATTTTTTTAAGGCCTTGCAGACAACTGTCAACCTTAGAGCATAAAAAAACGAGAATATTCTTTTTGCTTTTATTTTTCTGATTTCGAGAGGCATGGAAAGCCTTTCATCTTCCCTCTCAGACGTTATGCATCGTTACCATTGCTGACCACTACCATTGTAGAAATGGCCTCCATTTTGAAGCTGAAAGGGACTCTATCCAACTGTCATGGGTTCAGGGAACTCAGGTGTTTCAGTGTCACAAATTAAGTATGGAGGGCATTGGTCTTGTATTGACCCAAAGTTATCGAGTCAGAGGGTCCCTAGATGCAAGTACTATAACAGCAAACCCCAGCACCCTCTTAATCTCAAACACTGTATTGTGTTTCCTACTTCATTGACATATCTTTATGTATCATAGAGGAATGTATGATTGAATACCCACAATCTTAGAGAAACCGTTGGGTGTAGCAGGGATAGACACAGCCGCTAGTCCAAGACTAGTCCAAGACTAGTCCAAGACTAGTGAAAGTTGATATGGAACAGTTCTGTCCAAAACTAGCCCGAAGCCCAAGTCTAGTAACATTATGCTTGGTCTAGTAAGCTCAGCTAATAGTAGTACATGTTATAACACTTAAGTCTACTGAAAATGATGCGAAGGGTCCAGTTCGGGCGAGCGGACTCAAAAGTTTTTGGCACTGTTTGTTCTTTTCTCACAACATAACCCCTAGTCTGAAATGAGGTGGGAACTAGTTGGATATGACCAAGGTTGTCTACCCCTGTGGACTGTTGTTGTCTTAACCATGCAATGGTGAGTGTGCGTGTGCGTGTGCGTGTGCATGTTTTCTTTATAGTGGATACATACCCTTGCATCACTTTGTTTGTTTTTAAAATTTTAGACATATTTTGAATGTGGATTTGTACTTACGCATTGTAAGGATAAGATTTATGGATGAACAACTTCTTTATGACAGTAGCGTCTGCCCGGAGAGCGGAAGGTCTGGGGTTCGATCCCTGGCCGCGTCATACCAAAAGACGTTAAAAGATGGTACTTGTTGTTACCCTGTCTGGCGCTCGGAATTAAGGGGCTAAAACAAGGACTGGTCGGCTCGGAGTCAGTATACTGTGTCTGAGTGGGATATTCATGTTAAACTGCGGCATAGTATCTCAGTGAGCTAGCACTATAAATCGGCATCAGTCCGGACTAGTACAAGCAGCCACACAAACACACACACACGTACATGCATGTCGCTATATAAGTGCAATAATCTTGGACGCGACGTTAAAGCCCATTTCACCTCACTCTTTATGACAGTTGTTCATCCATGAATCCTGTCCTTACTTATTACTCCAACTTCTAGATGCCTCTCAAAGAAACTTACATGTTGTGTTGATCATCATTGTAACGTTGTTCTGAATGTGACAGGGATGTATTTTGTTCTTGTGTTGGTTCAAGAGCAGAGGGTGTTGACAGCCTGTTTGAGTTGGTCAGATACATCACCTAAACCTCTACTGTACATCCTCAGATTCTGTGATATTCTTTTCCCTGATTTCATTCTATGTTTAGCATATCACTGGTTGCAGTGGTGCGGATTATGGGCAAACTTAGGCCACAGGCACCAGTACACTGTAAAGTTGGATGTTATGTGAGGAAGTTGTCTCCTTCTCACTACCAGTTGAACCCGTGAAGATCCGGGTAGAATAGGTTTTCAGCAACCCATGCTTGCCATAAAAGGCGTCTATGCTTGTCGTAAGAGGCGACTAATGGGATCGGGTGGTCAGGCTCGCTGACTTGGTTGATGCATGTCATCCTATCCCAATTGTGTTGATCGATACTCATGATGTCAATCACTGGATTGTCTGGTCCAGACTCGATTATTTACAGACCGCCGTCATATAGCTGGGATATTGCTGAATGCGGTGTTAAACAACAAACAAACAAACAAACAAACAAACAAACAAACAAACTACCAGTTGAGCTCTCGGGTCCACTCGGCTCATTCAGCTATCTACTTAGTACCTTGGCAGCATTGGAGCACTGATAGGGCATGAATTCACTGTAAACCATGTAACGCTAAATCCTACCACACATGGGTTGTCTAACATGACCGTTAATTTTGAAAGTTGTGTGTGCCAAGTATCCCCTCTTCCTGAATCCTGAGACTCATTTGCTCACTACTGAATAATGAATAGTTATTTACACAAGACTCAAAAGCACGTCCGAATTCACCCTTCAAACAATGATTAGAGACAAAAACCTAATATATATATATATATTTAAAACTACGTTTAATACTACAAGAAAATAATCACGGATATTTGTACATTGCAAAAACTGACATTTTCTTTTCCTGAGAGAGAATAATTAGGAAAAATATCTGTCATGTGATTTGCATACACAAAGAATAGTTAACCTTCATATTTCCCTCTCATATCTCATCTTGAATTTTAGAGGAATTCACAAATACTTATATTCAAAACATCGACCAAACTCCCCTGGTTATAGGGAGTTGAATGAATTGTCTCCCTTTCACTTGTTTTGAGCGTGAAATTGACTGCAAGAGGATGAATGGGAATGTCTTGAATTAAGGTTCCAATAACATCACATTTTTTAGCAACATGATTCATAATGTACAGTTAGATAAGTTTGTACTTTGGCACTATTTGACATTTGTTCTTATTTCCTTAGAATATTCAAAGCCTATTTTTCCAATGTTGTCACTATGTTTATGCTAAAGGTATTGATTTCATGCATTATTTGAAGTTGGAATTTGCTTTGGATAAAAGGGAAACCTTAATCTCCATAAGGCTTAAAAAAATAAGAATTGGTTCTCAGGCAATTTGAAAATATAGCGTGGGCGTGTGGTGTCTGTTTTTTGTGGTTGTTCAAACTGGTATGTACCCAAATTAACAGTTGTGTAATCAATAAACAGTTGTGTACAACCAACCTGGAAAAGGGCCTCCCTACATAAATGTATTCCTTGATGAGTAAAATACTGGAATACAGTATTTGACTTCCCTAGGATTTTTTAGGATTTTTGTGTGTTTTTGTTACAAAATGGAATTAAAAACGAAATGTGCAGCCAATTTTATGATGATGCGGGCGGTGCCTGAGAACCAAGACTATTTTTTCTAGCCAAATGAACACAATCTTTTGTTGTGATGTCATGACACTTCTCAATCACTGTACATTCCAGGATTTTGATTATTTGTGTGTCGTAATTTTCTTAAGAATTACCAGAAAATACTGAAAAATGTATTTCCCTCATAACTTTATACCAAACAAATAATTGTTCATTGGATTACCAGAAAAAAAAGTAAGTAAAAAAATGTTTGGTACCTGCTTTCTCAGATTCGTTTGGTAGTTGTGACTGATGACATCTTCTGTCTATAACAGAATATCTTTAACAGACTGGAGGCTGACATCATTCCGACCTTTCGTCACAATAAGACTCTATCCAACCGTCATGGGTTCAGGGAACTCAGGTGTTTCAGTGTCACAAATTAAGTATGGAGGGCATTGGTCTTGTATTGACCCCAAGTTATCGAGTCAGAGGGTCCCTAGATGCAAGTACTATAACAGCAAACCCCAGCACCCTCTTAATCTCAAACACTGTATTGTGTTTCCTACTTCATTGACATGTCTTTATGTATCATAGAGGAATGTATGATTGAATACCCACAATCTTAGATTTACAGATCGGGTGGTCAGGCTCAGTGACTTGGTTGATGCATGTCATCCTATCCCAATTGTGTGGATCGATACTCATGATGTCAATCACTGGATTGTCTGGTCCAGACTCGATTATTTACAGACCGCCGTCATATAGCTGGGATATTGCTGAGTGCGGCGTTAAACAACAAACAAACAAACAAACAAACAAACTACCAGTTGAGCTCTCGGGTCCACTCGGCTCATTCAGCTATCTACTTAGTACCTTGGCAGCATTGGAGTACTGATACGGCATGAATTCACTGTAAACCATGTCACGCTAGATCCTACCACACATGGGTTGTCTAACATGACGGTTACTTTTGAAAGTTGTGGGTGCCAAGTTTCCCCTCTTCCTGAGACTCATTTGCTCACCACTGAATAATGAATAGTTACTTACACAAGACTCAAAAGCACGTCCGAATTCACCCTTCAAACAATGATTAGAGACAAAAACCTAATATATATATATATATTTAAAACTACGTTTAATACTACAAGAAAATAATCACGGATATTTGTACATTGCCAAAACTGACATTTTCTTTTCCTGAGAGAATAATTAGGAAAAATATCTGTCATGTGATTTGCATACTCAAAGAATAGTTAACCTTCATATTTCCCTCTCATATCTCATCTTGAATTTTAGAGGAATTCACAAATACTTATATTCAAAACATCGACCAAAATCCCCTGGTTATAGGGAGTTGAATGAATTGTCTCCCTTTCACTTGTTTTGAGCATGGAATTGACTGCAAGATGATGAATGGGAATGTCTTGAATTAAGGTTCCAATAACATCACATGATTCATAATGTACAGTTAGATAAGTTTGTACTCTGGCACTATTTGACATTTGTTCTTATTTCCTTAGAATATTCAAAGCCTATTTTTCCAATGTTGTCACTATGTTTATGCTAAAGGTATTGATTCCATGCATTATTTGAAGTTGGAATTTGCTTTGGATAAAAGGGAAACCTTAATCTCCATAAGGCTTAAAAAAATAAGAATTGGTTCTCAGGCAATTTGAAAATATAGCGTGGGCGTGTGGTGTCTGTTTTTTGTGGTTGTTCAAACTGGTATGTACCCAAATTAACAGTTGTGTAATCAATAAACAGTTGTGTACAACCAACCTGGGAAAGGGCCTCCCTACATAAATGTATTCCTTGATGAGTAAAATACTGGAATACAGTATTTGACTTCCCTTGGATTTTTGAGGATTTTTTGTGCGTTTTTGTTAAAAAATGGAAATAAAAACGAAATGTGCAGCGAACTTTATGATGATGCGGGAGGTGCCTGAGAACCAAGACTATTTTTTTAAGCCTAATGAACACAATTTTATGTTGTGATGTCATGATACTTCTCAATCACTGTACATTCCAGGATTTTCATTATTTGTGTGTCAAAATTTTCTTAAAAATTCCAGAAAATACTGAAAAATTTATTTCCCTCATAATTTTATCCCAGACAAATAATTTTTCACTGGATTACCAGAAAAAAAAGTAAGTAAAAAAATGTTTGGCACCTGCTTTCTCAGATTTGTTTGGTAGTTGTGACTGATGACATCTTCTGTCTATAACAGAATATCTTTAACAGACTGGAGGCTGACATCATGCCGACCTTTCGTCACAATAAGACTCGAATGAGGTTAACAATGCTGTCCAGATGACCAAAACAATACACTGGTGTGCAAGAGGTCATATGGGCACTAGTACACATACAAATTTGATGAACTTGTTTATGTCTAACCCTGGTAAAGCTAGATTAATGCTGACCGCATGTTTAAACATCAAACAAACAAAACATGATTCAAAGGTGTAAGTATTTATGTCAATTCCTTATTGTTTCTTTCATGACTTCAAGTATAATCAACCCTTGGCAAAAGAAAACGAGAGAAAAAAACCTTTGAAAGTGGCATGTACTTTGCTGTCATTATGGGAACTTGAGAAATCATATACCGTATTCGACGTAATAAGCACCCCGCTCTAATAAGCGACCACGGCGATATTTGCGAATATATTGGCTAGTGAACAATCCCAATTAGCACCCCTTCCGATTGATCAATGTTCACAAGATTTATTTATTCGCGTATGATACGCACTCGTGTGTTATATTCAACCTTAATTATGGGCAATTAAATTCTGGAAAAATATATCCGTCGTACATGAACACGATATTTATCTTTCAACTCTGTTTTTTTTTCACCAAAATAATATTTTATTAAGAGCCCCCTATTTCTAATTTTGAGAGTGCCCTGGGCGCTTATTACGTCGAATATGGTAATGATATTATTTCATTGTATCAATAACACAACTACCCCATGATGAATAAAGATGAGGATGAAATGCTGCCAGAATTTGGCTTCGCATCACACATTGCACCCATTTGAGGAATAGAACCGAGTCCTGTGGCATGATGAGCAATGGCTGTAACCACTCGCCTGCATCACGCCCCTGCCTCTTAAATGTTACAGTTTTAAACTGCTTTTAGCTTTATTCCAGCAATATGACAGAAGGGGATACCAGTAATGGCCTTCCCATACTGTACTTCAGTTTGATGAGACCTGTGAAGATCTGGGGTAGAATAGGTCTTCAGCAACCCCTGCTTGCCGTAATAGGCGATTGTGCTTGTCGTAAGAGGAGACTAATGGGATCGGATGGTCATGCTGGCTGACTTGGTTGATGCATGTCATCGATTCCAATTGTGTGAATGGATACTCATGATATCAATCACTAGATTTTCTAGTCAAGGCTTGATTCTTTACAGACCGCCGTCATATAGCTGGAATATTGCTGAGTGAGGTGTTAAACAACAAGCACACAAACCAACCAGTGTGATAAGCTTAGGCTCAACACGAAGGTACCTAATCGCCCCATGCCTCTCAAATATTTTAGGTTTCACCGAAGTGGTAAACGTCTGAGACCTGCATCACTTCGGGCTTTCCTCCCACATTAAGCTGACACGCCGTGATATAACTGGAATACTGTTAAAAGCGGCGTTAAACCCAACTCATTCACTCACTCACTCACTCAAATATTTTAAGAACAGCATTGAAATACATGCAATGCATCAACTGCTCACTCTTTCTGACTTGGTGTTGTGTTCGTGGCATGGCTGTGTCTCGCATAGGAATCTCATGTTGAGGTTGGAATGATTCCATTTCATTCTGTGTAATATATACTTCATTAAATGTGAATTGTGGATGCTATTATTGTATGTTCTTTTAACATTGCCACTTGTTGTGACTGTTCCTGGTGTTGAATAAATTCATGTTATAATATATCTTGATTTATCACATCATTGGTGGTTGCATGTGATCCTGTGTACATTGCACTTCGCAAATCAGAAGTTATGCAGCATGGGTCACTCACTCACTCACTCACTCACTACCCTGAACTTCTTGCTTTGTCTGATGCAATCAGAAGTTATGCAGCATGGATCACTCACTCATTCACTCACTCACTCACTCACTCACTCACTCACTCACCTGAACTCCTTGCTTTGTCCAATCAACAACACCAAAAGAATTGAAACGGAGGTGGGTACAGGATAAGTTTATGTGGCATTGACAACATTTCACAGTTCTGCTCTGAACCTGCATCCCAAAGTATGTATAGGCTGGGCTTTCCTCCCACATTAAGCTGACACACAGTGATATAACTGGAATACTGTTAACAGCTGCATTAAACCCAACTCACTCACTCACTCACTCGGATGAAGAATGTTGCATTTGTAGAGCCAAAAGGACATGCCAATATCATTACAAAAGGACATGGCAAGGAGAATCATTTTAGTGAGGATGTCCAGGGTGATAACATTCATCTTGGTTAAGCAAAAAGCTTAATATTTAGTGACAAACAGAAAGAATTATTCCTCTTCTAACAGAAATGGTGCTCTGAAGTCACCACCTGCCCCTGTGAATACATCTGAAGTTGAGATGACCAACGATTCATTACTGACTTAGTAAAACAAATAGTTTGCTTGGGGAGGTCAATATATTCCAGTATACAACCATAATATAAGGATAACGCTATTTTTCAGGGCATTATCATTTGCAGAAGCCCAAGGTTTTCCATTAACTGCCCGACTAAGGATGGCAGTTGAAAAGACCGAGGGCTTCTGCATATGATAATGCCCTGAAAAATAGCGTTACCGTTATTATAGCTAAAATGGATGGAATTTGTTATCTAATAAAAAGAAACAACAATATCGGTTTTGAAACATTTACTGCAATCAACACGAATGTCACTGACCCCATTTTACAAACATGGAAACGTCATAGAACAAACCAGATGACGTCACTATAATACGTGACGTCACTTTCTCTACCCTATGACGTCACCTCACAACGGGCTTGACAATGGCCCGTCGTCAAGCAATATGAGGGCATTATCAAGTTACAGTGGCCCGCTCATTTCTGATAATGTGCGGGCGGTTTAATGATAATTCTATCCATTTTAGCTATAAAAGATATTCAACATAACAGTACTGTTTGAAAGGCATTTCTTAGAAGTTGATGGCGGGCAAAGTAGACAAAATTTATGGACACCAACTTCTGGATTTTACTGTAATGGCGACGGTATAGATCATTATACCATTGTCAAGCAGGGCTGAATAATAAACATAGTACAGAATATATACTCACCGACAAAAGAAACGCTAATACCATACATGTTGGTTTATATATGAGGTGAGGTGAAATTGGGTTTAACGTCGCGTTCAAGATTATTGCACTTATATAGCGACGTGCATGCACGTGTGTGTGTGGCTGCTGTACTAGTCAGGACAGATGCTGATTTATAGTGCTAGCACACTGAGATACCATGCCACAGTTTAACATGAATACCCCACTCAGACACAGTTTACTGACTCCGAGCCGACCAGTTCTTGTTTAAGCCTTTTAACGTCTTTTGGTATGACGCGGCTGGGGATCGAACGCCGGACCTCCCGCTCTCCGGGCGGACGCTCTACCACTAGATCACGGAGGCGGTCGTTTATATATGAAGAGTTACTTATATTCAAAAGATACTGGTATGCTGTTTGAATCGACGCTCATGAACGCATCACATGTGACCTCTTGGTTTCATTACTCGAGACCCTCTATTGTTTCGTGCAGGATTAGAGGTCAACTTTGAAAATCACGTGCAACACACCCTGATAAGACGAAAGGCACTGTGGTAACACGTGACTGATTGTTAGTTTTGTCATTGAGTGGTACTCATTGGAAACATCTCTTTACGTTCATGTTTCTATGGTCGCGTTTGTTTTGGCGGTGAGTATATATGGTAAGGGGGTGGACAGTAACAACAGTTGCATACGTAAGAGATTAATATGAGTAGGTTAAAAAATAACAATAGAAGGGAGGAAACATGAAAACATAATAGACAGAGAACACATGATGAGGAAGCCAATTAAACGGGATTAAGTACACATAGGTGTGGTGATTATTGCATAGTAGGCGGATGAAATAGCCTTGATATTCTCTGTTGATTGGTGGCTTGTAGCGGCGAATGTGGACTGCTTGTGTAAGTTTTCTTTGAGTGAAGCCATTGATGTTGGAGAGAATTTCGATAGGATAAAACAAAACAAAACGGGACATATATCACCAGCGTCCAAGGTTAGGTCACATTACGAGGGCCATGGGGACTCTGCTACCTGAATGGTACCCCAGCAGGATTTATACTGCCCCTATTGTTGCTGGCGATTGTCAAAGTGAGCCAATATTAAAACAAACAATGATTAAACCATTTAAATAATAGTAGGAAAAAACGTATTTTAAATGATGTGGTCTTACAAACCCTATCAGGAGGACACAGGACAGGGTTGACTGTGATTCTCTCATCACAAGAGATGCAGAACGGAGGATCCACAATTAAAACAATTCTCAACCTCTGAAGATCCGTGTTAGAATACTTCTTAAAATACCCATGCTTGACTTAAAAAGGCGACTATGCGTGTTGTAAAAGGCGACCAACGGGATCGAGTGGTCAGGCTCGCTGACTTGGTTGATACATGTCATCGTATCCCAATTGCGTGGATCGATGCCCATGATTTCAATCACAGGATTGTCTGGCCCAGACTCGATTATTTACAGACCTCCGTCATATAGCTGGAATATTGCTGAGTGAGGCGTTAAACAACAAACCAACAACAACCAACAATAAATACTCATGTGTACATCGAGTGTGGCCAATGCGACATCGTCGTAAAATAACTGGTTGGAATCGAGTCCGGGTTTTCGACGAGCGCTTTAACCATTTGGTTATCCGCCCGCAGCTACACGGCTGTGAAGTACTAACGATTGATGAGAACAAGGAACTAATATGGAAAACACAACCTTGTGATAGTGGTTCACGTTCAAACACTTGGAAAAAAGCTGGAACAATACACCCAAGCACGATAGGATACCAACGCGATACACCTTTTCATGTTAAATCGTGATATATCTAAAGACAACAAAGCTGATTGATTTCTCCCAAATCTCTTTTCTAAAGTCAAATGCTGATGTTAAATTCGCGCTGCACAATATACAGCTGAATTGCGGTGTTGAACAATAAACAAACAAACTAGCTGGTTTGGTGTGCAATGTCTTCATTCTGCTGTCTGTTTGGTTATTAGTTCCAGAGCTCCGTGATAGCGTTGTAATATTGCTTCACACTGATCCATTCAATGAATACTAATCGTTATTTCTATCGCTCTTATTCAAGTTTAGGATACTGCTTCATTGTAATTAAATTGCTACAACAGAAAAGGACGGATCCATACATGTTTTGCGAAACTTTATTCACTGTAAACAAAAACTGCACAAATATAACCAGACTTAATGTAACAGTTACTGAAAAGTTAAAGTTAACCTGCTATGACCCATAGGGATTCCTGGTGAGAATTGGTTCGGAGCATCCCGTGCTTTTAACATGCGACTAAATGGTTTGGGTGCTCAGACCAGCTGACTTAGTTGACTGCGCGTCCATGCAATCCAACTACTTTAATCGTTGCTCATGATATAAAGCACTGGCTTGTCTTGTCCATACTCCATAATTTTCAGGCCAATTCTCTATCATTCACTCTTCTATTGTGAGTACACCTCCTGACGTCCGCCTGTATGAACCACAGAGACTCATCTTCCCGGGGCAAGGGAGTTAACTGACTGTAAAAGTCCAGTTTCCACTCTTGCCGAACTGAGCTGGTATTATGGAGTTTGATTTTGGCTGGACTAACGAGTCTATTCAAAGTCCAATCACAATCGCGCAACGAAATCGAAATCCGGTTCGTAAACTGTCATTCAGATGTCGGTCGATTGCAGGATTTGCAAAGTATGTGCACCGCCAATTCGTTGTCAACAGATATTTTCAAAATCTTTTCATGTTTTTAATCAATGTGCTCACGTGTTTTGAGTCACTTCGCGATGTAAGACCCGTTTTATCACAATATAGATCTTGATTATCGGTCAGATCGTCTTGACTGGGGGCCGCCATTTTGCCTGAAGCAAATGCAAGTGATACAAGAGGTGGAATCTGATTGGTCCATAGGAGAGGCAGAGAAAGGACATAGCTGGTAATAGCCACTGGTGGCGCTACGATTGCGCCTAGGAATTCCAGCCTAGTTCGGCAAGGGTGGTTGGTTGGTTGGTTTGTTGTTTAACGCCGCACTCAGCAATATTCCAGCTATATGACGGCGGTCTGTAAATAATCGAGTCTGGACCAGACAATCCAGTGATTAATATCATGCGCATCGATCCACGCATTTGGGATCGATGACATGCATCAACCAAGTCAGCGAGCCTGACCACTCGATCCCGTTAGTCGCCTTTTACGACAAGCCTAGTCACCTTTTACAGCAAGCATGGGTTGCTGAAGACCTATTCTACCCCGGAATCTTCACGGGTCCCGGCAAGGGTGGAAACTGGACTTTTATAGTCAGTTAATTCTCTTGCCTAGGGAAGATGACAGAGACTTTGATACACTGATTGAGTGCATTTTATCAATAACTAAATGTGGTGGTCTGAAAAGCTGATGAAGCAAGCACTTTAAATGTCAACAAGTAATGGTTGACAAACATAGCTACCAGCTGAGTAGGAAATGGTACGGCATCCTTTGTGGCGGTGAGAGAAAACCCACAATCTATTTTGCAAAACCACATACGGCTGGGTGAGAAATCAAAGTGAATAAAAATACACATGCCATGTTGGTGTGCAGCTATTGAAAGAAACAATACTGGAGTTACCGCTCCACTCCGTGATCACGTGAGAAAGGACACGCTGAAGGACAAACTGTCTCTGTCAAACTCACCGTCGAGTGACCTAAATTCATATATGTAAATGTAAATGTAAATGCAAAGCACTACAACATCCAAACTAAACCTTTACCTAAACATACTATCCGTCATGGACGCCGAAAATAGGCTCATGACACAATATATACCGTATACCATACAAGGATACTATTCTCTACACTTAATGCTCCCAGCATTATACATACAGGATATTAATAATAATAGGCCATTCATATTGTGTGTATTTCCACCCCACTCAGGGGCATGCTCAAAGTGCTATTTTCACCCTGTTCTCAGGATCAGTGTGCACTCAACAATCATTCTCAGCTCCGTGGGGAGTATGCAACCCAAGCTGCCTGTTAGGCGCTAGAAGGATAACAATCACAGTGGTGAGCACAGGCACATTTCGAGCAAAGTCAGTTGCTCAAGGAGACACCTCATGTGTTACATGGGCTTCAGTGTGTGGAAGGACCGAAGCCCAAGAAACTATCAGGAGCCAAACTCCCGAAATGAGGTACCCCATTCCGAGGACTCTCCACGACCGACGTTGCTTCACCGCAGGTCCACCTGCACAGGACCATGTGTCGCCATGGTATTACACACAATGGTACCATAATACCCATTATACAAGAACATGAATATTGATCAGACTTATAACCTATAGATATTCAATTTTTACAGGGACACCTTTCCAAAGTGAGAGTGGTTCTAATATCGCTTTACATCGTACTATCGAGAACAGTTTATGTATATACTCTGCAAAAAAGGAAGTAAAATCTAACCGAGTGTAGCAGACATCCATACACAATTAATGGAAAAATTAAATGGTCATTTTTGTCTTGTTCTGACTTCTGAGCAGGAATAGAAAAATACAGATCAGCAAGAAGGGGGTGGTGGGGTGTAGGGGCACAATTGGTACCCATGGGGATGCCTACGTTTTGTCAAAATGTCTTACCCCTTGATATTACGTAGATGTTATCAATGGGGAACTCCAGCATTTCATATATTGTTTACTCAGTAAACTTCAGATGACATTTGCTTTTGATTTTAACAGTTTTCTCTGAGAATTTGAGAATCCCTATAGTATAAATTCCACTTGTATGGAATACTCAAAGTATTGTGGTGACTCTTTGAGACATTGATTTGGTGCTGTGAAAGTTTTGTGCTTATGTTTATAATCAGATACTGGTTTTATCACCTTCTTGTGATTTGATTTCAGTGCTTGATGTCACAGCTGAAGTTGTTCTAATATCTGCTCTAGAACCTGTCAATTTCTCCCGGAGTAATCTCGTAACCCTATCTGTACAGACGAAGCTTACAAAGATGTGGAAGCCCTGAAGGCCGTTCAGGATGATGAAGATGTACCAGAGAATACTGACGTCCGCAAAGGCTGCACCAAAACTGAAACACCAAGACACACCCATGATGACAAATAACTTGCCATAGATGATCACCTTGGCTTTGTCCTTCTTTGAGGATGTGATATTTTGGGACAATTTCAGACTTTTCTCTATATTACAGAGCGTCATGGTAAAGGCAATAATGTTAACAAGTAGCATCAATGCCAGAGGTACACCAAACACCAGGAGAGACGCGCGAGGATTAGCGATCCAGCATATGCCATGTGCTCCATAGCCAATGTAAATATTGGGAACCTCCATGAAATCTAGAAGAGCCGATGTGGTGACAATACACAGAGGGATTCCATTGGCACAGAGGCTAAGGAAGCCATGCGCCTTTGCCGTATTCTGGTTCAAGGCGTTGACGCCCTTGTTTGTGAATGTACGAGCCAGTGTTACTGACATGACTGTCATCCACATGAAGGAACAGAGCCAAGAGAAGTGCATAGCGATGGCAAGTGCCTGACACAGGACTCCAGTGGGCAGTTGAATGAGGAGAAGAAGGGTTTGGGCAACCAGAAGGGAGGCAGACAAAGACATGGTTAGACGACCAGGTAAATTCCTCAATTGAGGCAGCAGTGAATACACGACCAGTGTGATCAGTAGGCTAACCAGGGAAACACCAGACGTCACATAGGTCAGAATACCCTGTATGTGATCGTATTTGAAGAAAATTGGTGAGTGTCTCTCAGGTTCAGACTGAGTAAAGTTATGACAAGTCAGCACTTCCTCTCCCACTATGAAGAAAGAAGTATTTGTCAGAATCACACCTGAATGTAAGTTTCTAAGATTCCCTTCCTCTTGTATGAAATCGGTTAGATTGTAAACAGCTGGATCACAATTTAGAGGACTTCTACACACAAATATCTTATGTAGGTCGGGAGGTTCATTTTTCAAGCCAAGTACGAATGCAACAGAATCTAATGTGTAATATCTATATGAGTCTGTGGCGTAGAGTGTCCCATTTAAAGTTTCTAAAGTGACGTTCATCACTTGCATAACTTCCCCATATGAACATAATAGGTCACTTTCTAAATAATAATTCTGAAGAATGATATCCACGATCACAAGATCCGACTTTCTGAGGATCTTTTGGGCCATTATTGATAACAAGTGTTCCAGGGATCTACCATTTTCAATATAAATCCTAACCATTTGTTTCAAATCCTGACTAGATTCCCATTCTACACTGTGAAAAGAAATGTCACTAGGTAGTGATGAAACATTAAGTATTTCAATGTGTGCATGTAATTCATGCAAATCTTTTAGACCAAACAGAGTCATTACGTTGTTGATCTGCAGTGGGAGTTCTGTGAGAACATACATGCTAGCCAGGAAATGTAATGTGCCGTTTGGGAAGAGTTGGTTTTGGCTGTCAGCAAACACCACTCCACTGATAAGACAAGTGCCATTGATAGCCTCTTTACCTTCCTGACAACGAATCTTACGACATATTTTCTCATAAGTATCGTACACCTCATCTGACTGACACTCAAGGCGAGGTGAGATAAGCTTACCATCTTTGGTTTGGAAGCGGACATCCTTGTCATTGAAATTAAACAAAATGCTAAAACCACCAGTTGCACCCTCAGTTTCTCTGTCCTCACCCTCATCTACTAGTGTCTGAAGCGTACATGACACATCTTCCTCACCATGATGTAACTGAGCACAGTGTGGGTTTCTGTACTGTCTTCGCTGTATGTTTGAGTACACAGTATACCGATATGACCTGCATAATGATATCGCCTCAGAGTCATTACGCACTCGTACTGGGTGGCTAATGTCCACATCCATACACGAACGTCCACCAATTCTTTCCATGTGGATCTTACAATATCCCGACAGATACTCTTCTATGTTTGTAAACCGATGTGATTCAGGTTTACAAGAAATAGATCTATCCCACTGAATCAATTTCTCTTCTGGAACACCATGACATCTTCCACAATAAATGTTCTTAAACACAATGTCCACATCATGAATATATGAAGCTGGAGTGGACATTGAATAATTAGTAATAGACGGAGGTGACTCGCATAGTGGGTCTTCTTTATTCCGTGGACATTTTGCTATTAACCATATCAGATTTCCTTGTGGAATAAGAACACAACTTCTGTATCTGATATACAAGGCCTGGAGTTGGATGACTGTCTCTGTTGTTTGGATCTTGGTGTCTTCGAAACCCTTAGTATTGGTCCTAGTTTTAGTATCATGTTCAACAGGTTCCCATGCTTGCATAAGCAAGGCATTGATTAAGGTTTCATTATCAGCAAATTCGGTAAAAGTGAAACTGTTGCTGAGACAAGTTGAAATGAAGTCATAACAACAGTCGCCATATGTCATACATTTAATATCACAGTGACAATCCTGATTAATGGTTTTAATGAAGCACAATCCTTTGCAAGAATGTTTGTGACAATATGGCATCTTAATGCTGTGAAACCGAAAGTGTGATAATGTCTCACATGTGAATTTCCGAAATGTGTCATTTGTTGAACACGTTGCACAATGACTGTTTCTCACCTTAACACCTGTATCTGTGACAACAGGATAGATATAACTTCTGCACATCAAGCTGTTAAGACTTGAAAAGGATCTATCAACCCCATGTGTTGGACACAAATTAAGGTGAGTATCATGGTCCTGTCTGCATGGCCGGGGTTGTGTTTTAGCTGGTACTTCACTCACCACCCTGCATAACGAGGCCCTCAATTTATGCATAAATTCATCGTATGTGATACCAGAACTGCCAGAAAAACCAGGGCACTTAGCTTCAGATGGCCACAGCATGACACTCTCCTTGTCTACACCATTGCATTGGGCACAAAAGATATTACGAAACACAATGTCAGGCTGTTGTCTCAGGGTTACTGGAACACTCCCAAGAGGATCAAGTGATGTGTTATGACATTTTGATACAATGTCAATCTTTGTATCGTCCAATGTTTCTTCAGTGTTGAGCTTTGAACAGCTTGAAATCATCCAGTAATGTTGAGTTCCTGTGCCATGATCTATTTCTTCACAACGCTTGAACAAGTACATCATTACGCTCTCCCCAACGATGTTTTTGCTTTTTTTGATGTCCTGCATAATGTTAAGAATACCACTTGTATTGTGAACACTATACAATAATGACGTTAGATTTTGTTGAAGGCAAAGAGAAAAAAAATCATAGCAGCAGTCCCCAAAAATAAAACAGTCTTCATCACAAGTACACTGTGTATCAAAGTTTGTTTGACCTTCAGTTTTTTTTTTTTGTTCATCCGCGTCTGATGCATCATTTTCCCAAACAGGACCTGTGCCGTTTTGATCATCACCTTGGTGCCGACCATCCTCATTCAGCCCTCCAGATTGCACTTGCTGTGTATTGATCAATGGAGGAGAGAAACGTTTTCTCCTCACAGATCTCGTTGGGCGATGAATCGTTAACCAACCTGAATCCCAACACCTGCCCATACATGTCCCTTTCTTACAAAGCAGATTGGCGTGAGCGTCTGGAGACAAATATACAGGAATTAGAAATATTAATAAGAAAAAAGAGATGAGAACAGTTGTGTTGAGTAGATACATGGTCACTTCTTGCTGTCTTTTCCTATGCGCATAGTATCAAAATTTGTCCTTGCAAATCATCTTTACATGCCACCACTCATTTCCAGTAAGTTCCCAAGACGCCAGTTTGGGGAAATACATGCCCACGACAACCTCAACCCAGATTACAGACACCAGAATCAATTTCTAATGAGATCAATTGTGATCTGAGAAACACATTACCTACATAACCTTGGAGTCCAATTCTATTTGCCAATGTAACAAGAGCGTCTTTGCAATTTTGCTCTTTAGACATTACTTCCAGTCTGATCAATTTTGTTTTGTGAAGCACAGGTCGTCAGTAACCCATGCTTGCCATAAAAGGCGACTATGCTTGTCGTAAGAGGCGACTGACGGGATCGGGTGGTTAGGCTCGTTGACTTGGTTCATGCATGTCATCGATCCCAAATGCGTGGATCCATGCTCATGATATTAATCACTGGAGTGTCTGATCATGAGTCCATTATTTACAGTCATATAGCTGGAACATTGCTGAGTGCAGCGTTAAACAAAGAAACCGTTTCATTGACACTAACGTTCCATGAAGGTCATTCTTCACCACCTCAATGTCGCAATGTCAGGAGTTTCGAATTTTCATCAGTTTTAAGAAGATTAGTGGACAAGGAGGTCACTCACCCAGTGGATCAATGGGACTGTCCTTGCTATTATTCTGGATATCTGATTCCTTGTCAGGAGGGTCTGTGAATTGCTTCAGACCAGGTTGGCCGATTTCCCCATGTGTCAATTCGCCTGCTGGTAGGTCTGGTTGGAAAGAAGCTGCTTGCACATGAGGCATCAGCACAATCACCAACAGGGCAAGGCGTTGACAAGACCAATCTGAAAAGGGTGGACATATTTATATTGGGATTAAACGTATGTATAAAAGCACAATCGCCTGTATGATTCCGTGTCTATGAATCAGGATTAAAAGGGTAAATAGATGATACCAGGTGTTTGCGAAAAGCAGATATTGAAGAAAAGGATTTACCGGGTGGGTTGATACAAACGAGCTGTCGTTTGCAATCATTGGGGAACTTTCAGCAATGGGTTTTTCACTCTGCATCTCATTTCACAAATGCGGAAGCGTTGCTAACTTGCTAAAATGCCTCTTGAAGGTCATGAATCTTATGCAGGTTCAGAAACTTTAATTTCATTCAGTATTATCAGGCTTTCTTCAGCGGGGGTTCTGGGACATCTATCATTATGTCAGTCTTCCATCACCGGCGTGTGGACCCGTGAACATCCTTGGTAAAATAGGTCTTCAGCAACCCATGCTTGCTGTAAAAGGCGACTATGCTTGTCATAAGAGGCGACTAACGGGATCGGGTGGTCAGGCTCACTGACTTGGTTGAGACATGTCATCGATCCAAATTGCGTGGATCGATGCTCATGATATCAATCACTGAATTGTCTGGTCCAGACTCGATTATTTACAGACCTCCGACATATAGCTGGAATATTTCTGAGTGCGGCGTAAAACAACAAACCAACCAACCAACCTCTTGGGAGTTGAAATGGGTACTGTGAATTATTACACTAAACCTTTGAAGAATGATGTTCATACAGTGATGTTTTTGAACTATATATCAATTCGGAAATTTTAATATTTATCTACTGTATATTTATTGGTAAACCTAGTTGCACTCGTCAAGCCGAATGTCCGGGTTCGATTCCTCTTAAGAGTGAAATGTATGTAGCAAGGCATCGATATCTCTGATAAGAGCAAATGCACTCAATACGTTGAATGGATATCTACAATATTATAACAGAACGGGACCAGTGGGGTAGCCTAGTGGTTAAAGCTTTCGCTCGTCACACCGAAGACCCGGTTCTATTCCCCATATGGTTACAGGCTCGCTGACTTGGTTGATGCATGTCATCGTATCCAAATTACGTTGTTTACAGACCGCCGTCATATAGCTGGAATATTGGTGAGTGCGGTGTTAAACAACCAACCAAACAACCAATTACGTGGATCGATGCTCATGATGTCAATCACTTGTTTGCCTGGCCCAGATTCTATTATGTACAGGCCGCCCTTAGTAATATTCTCACCACCAAAAGAAACGCGAATACCATACATGTTGGTTAAAAGATGAAGACCAACTCATATTCAAGAGATATAAAATTGGTTCGATGCACCAACGAACATTCTGGTAGTAGCGGGAACCGATGCTCATGAACGCATCACACAGATCCAAGACTCAAGATTCTTTGTCTCATGCGGGATTAGCGTGTAAAGTTTGGAAATCACGTACATATCGTGATAAGAATAAAGATACTGTCGTAACACTTGAAGTTGACATTTGTCATTATGCCGTACACAATGGAACATCCCTTCTTAACGTACATACTTCTCTACATGTGTCTACCGTTCGCGTTCATTTTGGCGGTGAGTATATGGAGATGGGATATTGAGTCGTTAACCAACACACTTAAGATACAGTCATATGTGGTCAACTGATCTGAGCAGGCTAAACAATTGGATAATCGGAATAATATCCGTTTTGGGACTCAATAATTCAAGGTAAACATGACTGACGTTTTAGATTGAACGCATTTCAGCTGAGCGCTTGAAACGAAATGCTACGGATATTACACACGTGTGAAACATACCTCAACAGAATAATACTCACTTTTCATCGTCTGTGTCGTGTCAAACGCCTCTGGTGGTGGAGTGTTTAGTAAAGATGCCTTGCGCCTGGCTCCTCGATCAACTAAGTGAATCTGTAGTCCTCAATAACAACCGTGTGCAATGAAAACAGAGAGGTCTTTATTTCCAGATTTAGTGGGAAAACGTATTGATCTGTTTGAATGATCCATCATTAAGCTGAACAATTATTTACTTGTCAGCAACATAGATTCCATCTAAAGGCTTTAATGATCGTCATGAAATAATGCTAAGGTAGGCTTGATTACATCCACTATAGTAACATGTTTATTGAATATCGGTTTAAAAGCATTGGCTCCTGTAGGCGAAAGGATTTATTAATGGGAGTGTCTTGATTGTACATTGAAAAAATGTGATTACCAATTCACCAGTTTACTTAGCTTTATACAGAAAGTTGATTCGGGTTTGTTCAACTAGCGATAGGGTGTTACCCGTGACCATTAGCTTTTAACGAGTATTTATTTATAATATCTATTCAATCTAATGAAGATAAAAACAGCGATGGGCGCTGCACACATTAACTCATTTCTATCACGATCCAATGTTCTTTGTTTAAATGATCACAACAGAGGCTTTCTAGTTTTCTCATAATACACATTTCACAAAGCAAATACACACAAATATAAGTTGAAAAGGTTTTTGAAATGGTGCCCCTATTCTAAATCTGGATGTGATCACTGTTGAACTTCTAGGCCGGTCTGCTTCCACATAAGGATATTGTTTCAGGGACATTTGGAAAGAATAAATACAGGAAACTCCTTTGTCTAACTACTATACTACTAAGCTGGGAGTTTGCGCTTTATATGTGTCCCTACCCTGACAGTGCGACTTATTGTGATCAATGTTATCAGCCCTCTACGCCTGTCAGTGTCTGTTTGGTTTTTAGTTCCAGAGCTCCTTGATAGCCTTGTAATGTTGCTTCACACTGATCTATTCAATGAATACTAATCGTTATTTCTATCGCTCTTATTCAAGTTTAGGATACTGCTTCATTGTAATTAAGTTGCTGCAACAGAAAAGGACGGATCCATACATGTTTTGCGAAACTTTATTCACTGTAAACAAAAACTGCACAAATACAACCTGACTTAATGTAACAGTTACTATAGGGGTAACGCTATTTTTCAGGGCATTATCATTTGCAGAAGCCCGAGGTCTTCCATTAACTACCCGACGAAGGAGGGCAGTTGAAAAGACCGGGGGCTTCTGCAAATGATAATGCCCTGAAAAATAGCGTTACCGTTATTATAGCTAAAATGGATGGAATTTGTTATCAAATAAAAAGAAACAACAATGTCGATTTTGAAACATTTACTGCAATCAACACGAATGTCACTGACCCACTTTTACAAATATGGAAACGTCATAGAACAAACCAGATGACGTCACTATTGAACGTTACGTCACCTATCCCTATCCTATGACGTCACCTAACAACGGGCGTGATAATGGCCCGTCGTCAAGTAATATGAGGGCATTATCAAGTTACAGTGGCCCGCTCATTTCTGATAACATGCGGGCGTTTTTATGATAATTCTATCCATTTTAGCTATAATGCAAGTTAAAGTTAACCTGCGATGACCCGTAGGGATTCCTGGTGAGAATTGGTTCGGAGCATCCCATGCTTTTAACATGCGACTAAATGGATTGGGTGCTGACTTGGTTAACTGCGCGTCCATGCAACCCAACTGCTTTCATCGTTGATCATAATATAAAGCACTGGTTTGTCTTGTCCATACTCGATTATTTTCAGGCCACCGTCATATACATTGAATATTCCAATTAATTCCAACGAGTTAACAAACGTTCTTAACTTCACCTTCAGTCCAGAGAGATCGGTTTGAATGGAAACTAGAGCCATGACCAACAGTGAATTCTAGCCATCTTTATAGCAATACACTCATGTCCAGACCAACTATTCTGACAAATGTAGAGGGGATAAAACCAACACAGCGAATTGTCCAGAATCATGCAGGTCATATATTGTCAGGCACTTTCTACTAAGGGAGCGGCAGTGTAGCCTAATGGTTAAAGCGTTCGCTTGTCAAGCTTCCTTGTTCGACTCCCTACAAAGTACAATGTGTGAAGACCATTCTCAATCATTCACTCTTCTATTGAGGGTACACCTACTGACTTCCCCCTGTATGAACCCACAGAGACTCATCTTCCCGAGGCAAGTGAGTTAACTGACTATAAAAGTCTAGTTTCCACCCTTAACGAACTAGGCTGGTATTATGAAGTTAGATTTTGGCTGGACTAACGAGTCTATGCATAGTCATATCACAATCGCGCAACGAAATCAAAATCCGGTTCGTAAACTGTCATTCAGATGTCGGTCGATTGCAGGATTTGCAAAGCATGTGCACCGCCAGCTCGTTGTCAACAGATATTTTCCAAATCTTTTCTTGTTTTTAATCAATGTGCTCACGTGTTTTGATTCACTTCGCGATATAAGACCCGTTTTATCACAATATTGATTTTGATTATCGGTCAGATCATCTTGACTGGGCACCGCCATTTTGCTTGAAGCAAATGCAAGTGATATGAGAGGTGGAAGCTGATTGGTCCATAGGAGAGGCATAGAAAGGACATAACTCGTAATAGCCACTGGTGGCGCTGCGATTGCGCCTAGGATTTCCAGCCTAGTTCGGCAAGGGTGTAAACTGGACTTTTATAGTCAGTTAACTCTCTTGCCTCGGGAAGATGACAGAGATTTTGATGCACTGATAATTGCATTTTATCAATAAATAAATGTGGTGGTTTGAATAGCCGATGAAGCAAGCATGTTATGTTAACAAGTAATCGTTGACAAACATAGCTACTAGCTGAGTTGGAAATGGTACGGCATCCTTTGTGGCGGTGAGAGAGACCCCCCAATCTATTTTGCAAAACCACATACGGCTGGGTGAGAAACCAAGGTGAATAAAATACACATGCCATGCTGGTGTGCAGCTATTGAAAGAAACAATACTGGAGTTACCGCTCCACTCCGTGATCACGTGAGAAAGGACACGCTGAAGGACAAACTGTCTCTGTCAAACTCACCGTCGAGTGACCTAGATGCATATATGTAAATGTAAACGTACATATGAAGCACAACAACATCCAAACCAAACCTTTACATAAACATACTATCCGTCATGGACGCCGAAAATAGGCTACGCGTAGAACAATAAAAAGGAAGAATTTCAAAACAAAATGTCACGTCTTCTTTGAAAGCTGCTTTGTTACACATTCATCATAGCAACAGGTGGGTGAATGGGTTTAACGCCTCGAGGAGTATATTAGTTAAATTATGGCGCATCAGCCTAAAATGTGGTTGGAATGCCTAATAGGGCGGAAGAAGTACACATTTGGTGAGACCACGCACACATTTATGCTTAAGCGGATCCTGTAGTTGGGCATGTACTTTGCCAGTGAGATATTTGATGCCATGTGAACTGAGTCAGTGGGGTCAAACCACAGTCATAGATGACGAGACACAAGGCCACAAATACCTTGGCCAATAACCTATTCATGCTATAAAGCAACACGACACTCGCCATATAAGCCAATAAGTATGTCAAATCTGATGTACGATGCAACCAAACAACCAATAGCCATAATCTACATCACATTCATGACACTATATATACCGTATACCATACAAGGATACTATTCTCTACACCAAATGCTCCGGGCATTATACATGATATTAATAAAAATAGGCCATTGATAATGTTTGTTTTTCCACCCCACTCAAGGGCATGCTCAAAGTGCAATTTTCACTTGGGGAGGGGGTTGGGGGGTTGGGATGGTCGGGGTTGGGGGTACAATTGGTACCCATGGGGATGCCTACGTTTTGTCAAAATGTCTTACCCCTTGATGTTACTTAGATGTTATCAATGGGGAACTCCAGCATTTCATATATTGTTTACTCAGTAAACTTCAGATGACATTTGCTTTTGATTTTAACAGTTTTCTCTGAGATTTTGAGAATCCCCATAGTATAAATTCCACTTGTATTGAATACTCAAATGATTGTGGTGAATCTTTGAGACATTGATTTGGTGCTGTGCAAGTTTTATGCTTATGTTTATAATCAGATACTGGTTTTATCACCTTTTTGTGATTTGATTTCAGTGCTTGATGTCACAGCTGAAGTTCGAATATCTGCTCTAGAACCTGTCAATTTCTCCCGGAGTAATCTCGTAACCCTATCTGTACAGACGAAGCTTACAAAGATGTGGAAGCCCTGAAGGCCGTTCAGGATGATGAAGATGTACCAGAGAAAACTGACGTCCGCAAAGGCTGCACCAAAACTGAAACACCAAGACACACCCATGATGACAAATAACTTGCCATAGATGATCACCTTGGCTTTGTCCTTCTTTGAGGATGTGATATTTTGGGACAATTTCAGACTTTTCTCTATATTACAGAGCGTCATGGTAAAGGCAATAATGTTAACAAGAAGCATCAATGCCAGAGGTACACCAAACACCAGGAGAGACGCGCGAGGATTAGCGATCCAGCATATGCCATGTGCTCCATAGCCAATGTAAATATTGGGAACCTCCATGAAATCTAGAAGAGCCGATGTGGTGACAATACACAGAGGGATTCCATTGGCACAGAGGCTAAGGAAGCCATGCGCCTTTGCCGTATTCTGGTTCGAGGCGTTGACGCCCTTGTTTGTGAATGTACGAGCCAGTTTTACTGACATGACTGTCATCCACATGAAGGAACAGAGCCAAGAGAAGTGCATAGCGATGGCAAGTGCCTGACACAGGACTCCAGTTGGCTGTTGAATGAGAAGAAGAAGGGTTTGGGCAACCAGAAGGGAGGCAGACAAAGACATGGTTAGACGACCAGGTAAATTCCTCAATTGAGGCAGCAGTGAATACACGACCAGTGTGATCAGTAGGCTGACCAGGGAAACACCAGACGTCACATAGGTCAGAATACCCTGTATAGGATCGTATTTGAAGAAAATTTGTGAGTGTCTCTCAGGCTCAGACTGAGTAAAGTTATAACAAGTCAGCACTTCCTCTCCCACTATGAAGAAAGAAGTATTTGTCAGAATCACACCTGAATGTAAGTTTCTAAGATTCCCTTCCTCTTGTATGAAATCGGTTAGATTGTAAACAGCTGGATCACAATTTAGAGGAATTCCACACACAAATATCTTTTGTAGGTTGGGAATTTCATTTTTCAAGCCAAGTATGAATGCAACAGAATCTAATGTATAATATTTATATGAGTCTGTGGCGTAGAGTGTCCCATTTAAAGTTTCTAAAGTGACGTTTATCATTTGCATAACTTCCCCATATGAACATAATAGGTCACTTTCTAAATAATAATTCTGAAGAATGATATCCACGATCACAAGATCCGACTTTCTGAGGATTTGTTTGCCCATTATTGATAACAAGTGTTCCAGGGATCTACCATTTTCAATATAAATCCTAACCATTTGTTTCAAATCCTGACTAGATTCCCATTCTACACTGTGAAAAGAAATGTCACTAGGTAGTGATGAAACATTAAGTATTTCAATGTGTGCATGTAATTCATGCAAATCTTTTAGACCAAACAGAGTCATTACGTTATTGATCTGCAGTGGGAGTTCTGTGAGAACATACATGCTAGCCAGGAAATGTAATGTACCGTTTGGGAAGAGTTGGTTTTGGCTGTCAGCAAACACCACTCCACTGATAAGACAAGTGCCATTGATAGCCTCTTTACCTTCCTGACAACGAATCTTACGACATATTTTCTCATAAGTATCGTACACCTCATCTGACTGACACTCAAGGTGAGGTGAGATAAGCTTACCATCTTTGGTTTGGAAGCGGACATCCTTGTCATTGAAATTAAACAAAATGCTAAAACTACTAGATCCTTCAGCAGGTGGTTCAAAGTGTATTTTCTTACACTCATTTCCTGTCTTAAGCGTACATGACACATCTTCCTCACCACCATGTAACTGAGCACAGTGTGGGTTTCTGTACTGTTTTTGCTGTATGTTTGAGTACACAGTATACCGATATGACCTGCATAATGATATCACCTCAGAGTCATTACGCACTTGTATTTGGTGGTAAATGTCCACATCCATACAGGAACGTCCACCCATTCTTTCCATGTGGATCTTACAATATCCCGACAGATACTCTTCTATGTTTGTAAACCGATGTGATTCAGGTTTACAAGACATAGATCTATCCCACTGAATCAATTTCTCTTCTGGAACACCATGACATCTTCCACAATAAATGTTCTTAAACACAATGTCCACATCATGAATATATGAAGCTGGAGTGGACATTGAATAATTAGTAATAGACGGAGGTGACTCGCATAGTGGGTCTTCTTTATTCCGTGGACATTTTGCTATTAACCATATCAAGTTTGCTTGCGGAATAAGAACACAACTTCTGTATCTAATATACAAAGCCTGGAGTTGGATGACTGTCTTTGTTGCTTGGATCTTGGCGTCTTCGAAACCCTTAGTATTGGTCCTAGTTTTAGTATCATGTTCAACTGGTTCCCATGCTTGCATAAGCAAGGCATTGATTAAGGTTTCATTATCAGGAAATTCGGTAAAAGTGAAACTGTTGCTGTGACAAGTTGAAATGAAGTCATAACAACAGTCGCCATATGTCATGCATTTAATATCACAGTGACAATCCTGATTAGTGGTTTTAATGAAGCACAATCCTTTGCAAGAATGTTTGTGACAATATGGCATCTTAATGCTGTGAAACCGAAAGTGGGATAATGTCTCACATGTGAATTTCCGAAATGTGTCATTTGCTGAACACATTGCACAATGACTGTTTCTCACCTTAACACCTGTATCTGTGACAACAGGATAGATATAACTTCTGCACATCAAGCTGTTAAGACTTGAAAAGGATCTATCAACCCCATGTGTTGGACACAAATTAAGGTGAGTATCATGGTCCTGTCTGCATGGCCGGGGTTGTGTTTTAGCTGGTACTTCACTCACCACCCTGCATAACGAGGCCCTCAATTTATGCATAAATTCATCGTATGTGATACCAGAACTGCCAGAAAAACCAGGGCACTTAGCTTCAGATGGCCACAGCATGACACTCTCCTTGTCTACACCATTGCATTGGGCACAAAAAATATTACGAAACACAATGTCAGGCTGTTGTCTCAGGGTTACTGGAACACTCCCAAGAGGATCAAGTGATGTGTTATGACATTTTGATACAATGTCAATCTTTGTATCGTCCAATGTTTCTTCAGTGTTGAGCTTTGGACAGCTTGAAATCATCCAGTAATGTTGAGTTCCTGTGCCATGATCTATTTCTTCACAACGCTTGAACAAGTACATCAATACGCTCTCCCCAACGATGTTTTTGCTTTTTTTGATGTCCTGTATAATGTTAACAATACCACTTGTATTGTGAACACTATTCAATAATGACGTAAGATTTTGTTGAAGGCAAAGAGAAAAAAAATCATAGCAGCAGTCCCCAAAAATAAAACAATCTTCATCACAAGTACACTGTGTATCAAAGTTTGTTTGACCTCCAGAGTTGTTTTTCTGTTCATCCGCGTCTGATGCATCATTTTCCCAAACAGGACCTGTGCCGTTTTGATCATCACCTTGCTGCCGACCATCCTCATTCAGCCCTCCAGATTGCCCTTGCTGTGTATTGATCAATGGAGGAGGCAAACGTTTTCTCCTCAAAGATCTCGTTGGGCGATGAATCGTTAACCAACCTGAATCCAAACACCTGCCCATACATGTCCCTTTCTTACACAGCAGATTGGCGTGAGCGTCTGGAGACAAATGTACAGGAATTAGAAATATTAATAAGAAAAAAGAGATGAGAACAGTTGTGTTGAGTAGATACATGGTCACTTCTTGCTGTCTTTTCCCATGCGCATAGTATCAAAATTGTCCTTGCAAATCATCTTTACATGCCACCACTCATTTCCAGTAAGTTCGCAAGACGCCAGTTTGGGGAAATACATGCCCACGACAACCTCAACCGAGATTACAGACACCAGAATCAATTTCAAGTCTAATGAGATCTATTGTGATCTGAGAAACACATTACCTAAAACCTTGGAGTCCAATTCTATTTGCCAATGTAACAAGAGCGTCTTTGCAATTTTGCTCTTTAGAGGTGAGGTGAGGTGAAATTGGGTTTAACGTCGCGTCCAAGATTATTGCACTTATATAGCGACGTGCATGCACGTGTATGTGTGTGTGTGGCTGCTTGTACTAGTCCGGACTGATGCCGATTTATAGTGCTAGCTCACTGAGATACCATGCCGCAGTTTAACATGAATACCCCACTCAGACACAGTATACTGACTCCGAGCCGACCAGTCCTTGTTTTAGCCCCTTAATGCCGAACGCCAGACAGGGTAACAACAAGTACAATCTTTTAACGTCTTTTTGTATGACGCGGCCCGGGATCGAACCCTGGACCTTCCGCTCTCCGGGCGGACGCTCTACCACAAGACCACGGAGGCGGTCTGCTCTTTAGACATTACTTCTAGTCTGCTCAATTTTGTTTTGTGAAGCACAGGTCGTCAGTAACCCATGCTTGGCATAAAAGGCGACTATGCTTGTCGTAAGAGGCGACTGAAGGGATCGGGTGCTCAGGCTCGCTGACTTGGTTCATGCATGTCATCGATCCCAAATGCGTGGATCGATGCTCATGATATTAATCACTGGAGTGTCTGGTCACGAGTCCATTATTTACAGACCGCCGTCATATAGCTGGAACATTGCTGAGTGCAGCGTTAAACAAAGAAACCGTTTCATTGACACTAACGTTCCATGAAGGTCATTCTTCACCACTTCAATGTCGCAATGTCAATAGTTTCGAATTTTCATCAGTTTTAAGAAGATGAGTGTACAAGGAGGTCACTCACCCAGTGGATCAATGGGACTGTCATTGCTATTATTCTGGATATCTGATTCCTTGTCAGGAGGGTCTGTAAATTGCTTCAGACCAGGTTGGCCGATTTCCCCATGTGTCAATGCGCCTGCTGGTAGGTCTGGTTGGAAAGAAGCTGTTTGCACATGAGGCATCAGAACAATCACCAATAGGGCAAGGCGTTGACAAGACCAATCTGAAAAGGCAGGACATATTTATATTGGGATTAAACGTATGCATAATCTCAAATGTACTGTATATTGTATATATTTACAAAGCTGTATTAGAAGGAAGGACATGTGTTGGTAAGTGGAGGTTGGTAATTTGAAAGTTACACAAACACGTAATGTCATTTACTTTTCAGATGTTTTTCCAATGGAAAATAGCTACAATATCTGGTACATACTTTTGGACTCAATAAGGAGCGACAAAAACTCTTTTCTCCTTCATAAGAAATATCTGCTAAAAGCACAATCGCCTATATGATTCCATGTCTATGAATCAGGATTAAAAGGGTGAAAAGATGATACCAGGTGTTTGCGAAAAGCAGATATTGAAGAAAAGGATTTACTGGGTGGGTTGATACAAACGAGCTGTCGTTTGCAATCATTGGGGAACTTTCAGCAATGGGTTTTTCACTCTGCATCTCATTTCAGAAATGCGAAAGACATTGCTAATTAACTTGCTAAAAATTCCTTTTGAAGGTCATGAAACTAATGCAGGTTCAGAAACCTTTAATTTCATTCAGTATTATCAGGCTTTCTTTAGCGGGGGTTCTGGGACATCTATCATTATGTCAGTCTCCCATCACCGGCGTGTGGAACCGTGAACATCGTGGGTAGAATAGGTCTTCAGCAACCCATGCTTGCTGTAAAAGGCGACTATGCTTGTCATAAGAGGCGACTAACGGGATCGGGTGGTCAAGCTCGGTGACATGGTTGATGCATGGTCATCGCTCCCCATTGCGTTGATCGATGCTCATGATATCAATCACTGCATTGTCTGGTCCAGACTCGATTATTTACAGACCTCCGACATATAGCTGGAATATAGCTGAGTGCGGCGTAAAACAACCAACCAACCAACCAACCTCTTGCGAGTTGAAATGGGTACTGTGAATTCTTACACTAAACCTTTGAAGAATGATGTTCATGCAGTGATGTTTTTGAACTATATATCAATTCGGAAATTTTAATATTTATCTACTGTATATTTATTGGTAAATCTAGTTGCACTCGTCAAGCCGAATGTCCGGGTTCGATTCCTCTTAAGAGTGAAATGTATGATGTCATTTGCTGGTGACGCCCGCCGAGATATTGCTGGAATACTGCTGAAATCAGCGAAAAATCCAACTCACTCACTAGCTCGTTCTGTTAAAGAAATAGCAAGGCATCGGTATATCTGATAAGAGCAAATGCACTCAATACGTTGAATGGATACCTACATTATTATAACAGAACGGGGCCGGTGGGGTAGCCTAGTGGTTAAAGCGTTCCCTAGTCACACCGAAGACCCTGGTTCTATTCCCCATATGGGTACAGGCTCGCTGACTTGGTTGATGCATGTTATCGTATCCCATTTACGTGGTTTACAGACAGCCGTCATATTGCTGGAATATTGGTGAGTGCGGTGTTAAACAACCAACCAACCAACCAATTACGTGGATCGATGCTCACTTGTTTGCCTGGCCCAGATTCGATTATGTACAGGCCGCCCTTAATAATATTCTCACTACCAAAAGAAACGCGAATGCCATACATGTTGGTTAAAAAGATGAAGACCTACTCATATTCAAGAGATATAAAATTGGTTCGATGCACCAACGAACATTCTGGTAATTGCGGGAACCGATGCTCATGATCGCATCACACAGATCCAAGACTCAAGATGCACCATTTGTCTCGTGCGGGATTAGCGTGTAAGTTTGGAAATCACGTGCATATCGTAATAAGAATAAAGACACTGTGGTAACACTTGAAGTTGACATTTGTCATTATGCTGTACACAATGGAAACATCTCTTCTTAACGTACATACTTCTCTACATGTTTCTACCGTTCGCGTTCATTTTGGCGGTGAGTATATGGAGATGGGATATTGAGTCGTTAACCAACACACTCAAGATACAGTCGTATGTGGTCAACTGATTTGAGCAGGCTAAACAATTGGATAATCAGATAATATCCGCTTTAGGACACAAATAATTCAAGGTAAACATGACTGACGTTTTAGATTGAACGCATTTCAGCTGAGCGCTTGAAACGAAATGCTACGGATATTACACACGTGTGAAACATACCTCAACAGAATATTACTTACTTTTCATCGTCTGTGTCGTGTCAAACGCCTCTGGTGGTGGAGTGTTTAGTAAAGAAGCCTTGTGCCTGGCTTCTCGATCAACTAAGTGAATATGTAGTCCTCAATTAAAACCGTGTGCAATGAAAACAGAGAGGTCTTCATTATCAGATTTAGTGGGAAAACGTATTGATCTGTTTGAATGATCCATCATTAGGCTGAACAATTATTTACTTGTCAGCAAAATAGATTCCATCTAAAGGCTTTAATGATCGTCATGAAATAATGCTAAGGTAGGCTTGATGACATCTACTATAGTAACATGTTTATTGAATATCAGTTAAAAAGCACTGGCTCCTGTAGGCGAAAGAATTTATTAATGGGAGTGTTCTGATTGTACATTGATAAAATGTGATTACCAATTCACCAGTTTACTTAGCTTTATGCAGAAAATTGATTCGGGTTTGTACAACTAGCGATAGGGTGTAACCCGTGACCATTAGCTTCTAACGAGTATTCATTTACAATATCTATTCAATCTAATGAAGATAAAAACAGCGATGGACGCTGCACACATTAACTCATTTCTATCACGATCCACTGTTCTTTGTTTAAATGATCACAACAGAGGCTTTCTAGTTTTCTCATAATACTCATTTCACAAAGCAATTATACAAAAATATAGGTTGAAAAGGTTTTTGAAATGGTGCCCCTATTCTCGATCTGGATGTGATCACTGTTTAACTTCTGGGGCTGTCTGCTTCCACATAAGGATATTGTGTCAGGGCAGGGCCTGTCAGTGTCTGTTTGGTTATTAGTTCCAAAGCTCCTTGATAGCTTTGTAATGTTGCTTCACACTGATCTATTCAATGAATACTAATCGTTATTTCTATCGCTCTTATTCAAGTTTAGGATATTGCTTCATTGTAATTAAGTTGCTACAACAGAAAAGGACGAATCCATACATGTTTTGCGAAACTTTATTCACCATAAACAAAACTGCACAAATACAACCAGACTTAATGAAACAGTTACTACAAGTTAAAGTTAACCTGCGATGACCAGTAGGGATTCCTGGTGAGAATTGGCTCGGGGCATCCCATGCTTTTAAAGGCGACTAAATGGATCGGGTGCTGACTTGGTAGAAAATAAGGGGATAAAACCAACACAGCGAATTGTCCAAAATCAAGCAGGTCATATACTGTCAGGGTCTTTCTACTTAGGGAGCTACGGCGTAGCCTAATGGTGAAAGCGTTCGCTTGTCACGCTTCCTTGTTCGATTCCCTACAAGGTACAATGTGTGAAGATCATGTCTAGAGATTTCTGGAATATTGCTCGATTGCAGGATTTGCAAAGCAGGTGCGCCTCCAACCCGTTGTCAACAGATATTTTCCAAATCTTTTCATGTTTTTAATCAAGGTGCTCACGTGTTTTGATTCACTGGGCGATGTAAGACCCGTTTTATCACAATAGAGATCTTTATTATCTGTAAGATTGCCTTGACTGGGCACCGCCATTTTGCTTGAAGCAAATGCAAGTGATACGAGAGGTGGAATCTGATTGGTCCATAGGAGAGGCATAGAAAGGACATAATAGCCACTGGTGGTGCTACGATCATGCCTAGGAGTTCCAGCCTAGTTTGGCAAGGGTGTAAACTGGAGTTTTATAGTCAGTTAACTCTCCTGCCTAGGGAAGATGACAGAGCCTTTGATGCACTGATTGAGTGCATTTTATCAATAACTAAATGTGGTTGTTTGAATAGCCGATGAAGCAAGCATGTTATGCCAAAAAGTAATGGTTGACAAACATAGCTACCAGCTGAGTAGGAAATGGTACGGAATCCTTTGTGCGGTGAGAGAAAACCCACAATCTATTTTGCAAAACCACATACGGATGGGTGAGAAATCACGCTGAATAAAATACACATGTTGTTGTGCAGCTATTGAAGGAAATAATACTGGAGTTACCGCTCCACTCCGTGATCATGTGAGAAAGGACATGCTGAAGGACAAACTGTCTCTGTAAAATTCTGGACGCCGAAAATAGGCTACGAGTTGAACAATAAAAAGGAAGAATTTCAAAAAAAAATGTCACGTCTTCTTTCAAAGCTGCATTGTTACACATTCATCATAGCTATAGGTGGATGGATGGGTTTAACGCCTCTTCGAGGAGTATATTAGTTAAATTATGGCGCATCAGCCTAAAATGTGGTTGGAATGCCCAAAATTGCGGAAGAAGTACACATTTGGTGAGACCGCGGACACGTTTATGCTTAAGCGGATCCTGTAGTTGGGCATGTACTTTGCCAGTGAGGTATTTGATGCCATGTTAACAGACTGAGTGGGGTCAAAACACAGTCATGGGTGTCGAGACACAAGGCCACAAATACCTTGGCCAATAACCTATTCATGCTATAAAGCAACACGACGCTCGCCATATAAGCCGATAAGTAAGTCAAATCTGATCTACGATGCAACCAAACAACCAATAGCCATAATCTACACCACATTCATGACACAATATATATATCGTATACCATACAATGATACTATTCTCTACACTTAATGCACCGAGCATTATACATGCTATTAATAATAATAGGCCATTAACATTGTGTATATTTTCACCCCACTCAGGGCCATGCTCAAAGTGTTATTTTCAACCCGGTCTCTGGATCAGTGTGCACTCAACAATCATTCTCAGCTCCGTGGGGAGTATACAACACAAGCTGCCTGTTAGGCGCTAGAAGGATAACAATCACAGAGGTGAGCACAGGCACATTTCGAGCAAAGTCAGTTGCTCAAGGAGACACCTCATGTGTTACATGTGCCTCAGTGTGGGGAAGGACCGAAGCCCAAGAAACTATCAGGAGCCAAACTCCCAAAATGCGGTACCCCATCCGAGGACCCTCTACGACCGACGTTGCTTCGCCTGTGCACAGGACCATGTGTCACATTGGTACCATAATACCCATTATACGAGAACATGAATATTGATCAGACTGATATACAATTCCTTCAATTTTTACAGGGACACCTTTCCAAAGTGAGAGTGGTTCTAATATCGCTTTACATCGTACTGTCGAGAACAGTTTATGTATATACTCTGCAAAAAAGGAAGTAAAATCTAACCGAGTGTAGCCAACATTCATACACAATTAATGGAAATATGAAATGGTAATTTTGTCTTGTTCTGACTTCTGAGCAGGAATTCAGATTCATTTGCATAAAAAAAGATCAGCGAAAAGGGTTGGGGAGGGGGTTGGGTTGGTGGGGGTTGTGGGCACAATTGGTACCCATGGGGATGCCTACGTTTTGTCAAAATGTCTTACCCCTTGATGTTACGTAGATGTTATCAATGGGGAACTCCAGCATTTCATATATTTTTTACTCAGTAAACTTAAGATGACACTTGCCTTTGATTTTAACAGTTTTCTCTGAGATTTTGAGAATACCTATAGTAAAAATTCCACTTGTATCGAATAAGCAAAGGATTATGGTGAATCTGTGAGACATTGATTTGGTGCTGTGAAAGTTTTGTGCTTATGCTTATAATCAGATACTGTTTTTATCACCGTTTTGTGATTTGATTTCAGTGCTTGATGTCACAGCTGAAGTTGTCCTAAAATCGGCCGTAGAACCTGTCAATTTCTCCCGGAGTAATCTCGTAACCCTATCTGTACAGACGAAGCTTACAAAGATGTGGAAGCCCTGAAGGCCGTTCAGGATGATGAAGATGTACCAGAGAATACTGACGTCCGCAAAGGCTGCACCAAAACTGAAACACCAAGACACACCCATGATGACAAATAACTTGCCATAGATGATCACCTTGGCTTTGTCCTTCTTTGAGGATGTGATATTTTCGGACAATTTCAGACTTTTCTCTATATTACAGAGCGTCATGATAAAGGCAATAATGTTAACAAGAAGCATCAATGCCAGAGGTACACCAAACACCAGGAGAGACGCGCGAGGATTAGCGATCCAGCATATGCCATGTGCTCCATATCCAATGTAAATATTGGGAACCTCCATGAAATCTACAAGAGCCGATGTGGTGACAATACACAGAGGGATTCCATTGGCACAGAGGCTAAGGAAGCCATGCACCCTTGCCGTATTCTGGTTCAAGGCGTTGACGCCTTTGTTTGTGAATGTACGAGCCAGTGTTACTGACATGACTGTCATCCACATGAAAGAACAGAGCCAAGAAAAGTGCATAGCGATGGCAAGTGCCTGACACAGGACTCCAGTTGGCAGTTGAATGAGAAGAAGAAGGGTTTGGGCAACCAGAAGGGAGGCAGACAAAGACATGGTTAGACGACCAGGTAAATTCCTCAATTGAGGCAGCAGTGAATACACGACCAGTGTGATCAGTAGGCTAACCAGGGAAACACCAGACGTCACATAGGTCAGAATACCCTGTATGTGATCGTATTTGAAGAAAATTGGTGAGTGTCTCTCAGGCTCAGACTGAGTAAAGTTATGACAAGACAGCACTTCCTCTCCCACTATGAAGAAAGAAGCATTTGTCAGAATCACACCTGAATGTAAGTTTCTAAGATTCCCTTCCTCTTGTATGAAATCGGTTAAATTGTAAACAGCTGGATCACAATTTAGAGGAATTCCACACACAAATATCTGATATAGGTCGGGAGGTTCATGTTTCAAGCCAAGTACGAATGCAACAGAATCTAATGTGTAATATTTATATGAGTCGGTGGCGTAGAGTGTCCCATTTAAAGTTTCTAAAGTGACGTTCATCACTTGCATAACTTCCCCATATGAACATAATAGGTCACTTTCTAAATAATAATTCTGAAGAATGATATCCACGATCACAAGATCCGACTTTTTGAGGATCTTTTGGGCCATCATTGATAACAAGTGTTCCAGGGATCTACCATTTTCAATATAAATCCTAACCATTTGTTTCAAATCCTGACTAGATTCCCATTCTACACTGTGAAAAGAAATGTCACTAGGTAGTGATGAAACATTAAGTATTTCAATGTGTGCATGTAATTCATGCAAATCTTTTAGACCAAACAGAGTCATTACGTTGTTGATCTGCAGTGGGAGTTCTGTGAGAACATACATGCTAGCCAGGAAATGTAATGTACCGTTTGGGAAGAGTTGGTTTTGGCTGTCAGCAAACACCACTCCACTGATAACACAAGTGCCATTGATAGCCTCTTTACCTTCCTGACAACGAATCTTACGACAAATTTTCTCATAAGTATCGTACACCTCATCTGACTGACACTCAAGGTGAGGTGAGATAAGCTTACCATCTTTGGTTTGGAAGCGGACATCCTTGTCATTGAAATTAAACAATATGCTAAAACCACTAAGTGCCTCAGCAGGTGGATCAAAGTGTATTTTCTTACACTCATTTCCTGTCTTAAGCGTACATGACACATCTTCTTCACCACAATGTAACTGAGCACAGTGTGGGTTTCTGTACTGTTTTTGCTGTATGTTTGAGTACACAGTGTACCGATATGACCTGCATAATGCTATCGCCTCAGAGTCATTACGTACTCGTATTGGGTGGTTAATGTCCACATCCATACAGGAACGTCCACCCATTCTTTCCATGTGGATCTTGCAATATCCCGACAGATACTCTTCTATGTTTGTAAAAGGATGTGATTCAGGTTTACAAGAAATAGATCTATCCCACTGAATCAATTTCTCTTCTGGAACACCATGACATCTTCCACAATAAATGTTCTTAAACACAATGTCCACATCATGAATATATGAAGCTGGAGTGGACATTGGATAATTAGTAATAGACGGAGGTGACTCGCATAGTGGGTCTTCTTTATTCTGTGGACATTTTGCTATTACCCATATCAGATTACCTTGTGGAATAAGAACACAACTTCTGTATCTGATATACAACGCCTGGAGTTGGATGACTGTCTCTGTTGTTTGGATCTTGGTGTCTTCGAAACCCTTAGTATTGGTCCTAGTTTTAGTATCATGTTCAACAGGTTCCCATGCTTGCATAAGCAAGGCATTGATTAAGGTTTCATTATCAGGAAATTCGGTAAAAGTGAAACCGTTGCTGTGACAAGTTGAAATGAAGTCATAACAACAGTCGCCATATGTCATGCATTTAATATCACAGTGACAATCCTGATTAGTGGTTTTAATGTGGCAGAATCCTTTGCAAGAATGTTTGTGACAATATGGCATCTTAATGCTGTGAAAGCGAAAGTGGGATAATGTCTCACATGTGAATTTCCGAAATGTGTCATTTGCTGAACACGTTGCACAATGACTGTTTCTCACCTTAACACCTGTATCTGTGACAACAGGATAGATATAACTTCTGCACATCAAGCTGTTAAGACTTGAAAAGGATCTATCAGCCCCATGTGTTGGACACAAATTATGGTGAGTATCATGGTCCTGTCTGCATGGCCGGGGTTGTGCTTTAGCTGGTACTTCACTCACCACCCTGCATAACGAGGCCCTCAATTTATGCATAAATTCATCGTATGTGATACCAGAACTGCCAGATAAACCAGGGCAGTTAGCTTCAGATGGCCACAGCATGACACTCTCCTTGTCTACACCATTGCATTGGGCACAAAAAATATTACGAAACACAATGTCAGGCTGTTGTCTCAGGGTTACTGGAACACTCCCAAGAGGATCAAGTGATGTGTTATGACATTTTGATACAATGTCAATCTTTGTATCGTCCAATGTTTCTTCAGTGTTGAGCTTTGAACAGCTTGAAATCATCCAGTAATGTTGAGTTCCTGCGCCATGATCTATTTCTTCACAACGCTTGAACAAGTACATCAATACGCTCTCTCCAACGATGTTTTTGCTTTTTTTGATGTCCTGTATAATGTTAACAATACCACTTGTATTGTGAACACTATACAATAATGACGTTAGATTTTGTTGAAGGCAAAGAGAAAAAAAATCATAGCAGCAGTCCCCAAAAATAAAACAATCTTCATCACAAGTACACTGTGTATCAAAGTTTGTTTGACCTTCAGAGTTGTTTTTCTGTTCATCCGCGTCTGATGCATCATTTTCCCAAACAGGACCTGTGCTGTTTTGATCATCACCTTGCTGCCGACCATCCTCATTCAGCCCTCCAGATTGCACTCGCTGTGTAATGTTGAATGGAGGAGGCAAACGTTTTCTCCTCAAAGATCTCGTTGGGCGATGAATCGTTAACCAACCTGAGTCCCAACACCTGCCCATACATGTCCCTTTCTTACAGAGCAGATTGGCGTGAGCGTCTGGAGACAAATGTACAGGAATTAGAAATATTAATAAGAAAAAAGAGATGAGAACAGTTGGTTGGTTGGTTTGTTGTTTAACACCGCACTCAGCAATATTCCAGCTATATGACGGCGGTCTGTAAATAATCGAGTCTGGGCCAGACAATCCAGTGATTGATATCATGAGCATCGATCCACGCAATTGGGATCGATGACATATATCAACCAAGTCAGCGAGCCTGACCACCCGATCCCGTTAGTCGCCTTTTACGACAAGCATAGTCGCCTTTTACGGCAAGCATGGGTTGCTGAAGACCTATTCTACCCCGGAATCTTCACGGGTCTGAGAACAGTTGTGTTGAGTAGATACATGGTCACTTCTTGCTGTCTTTACCTATGTGCATAGTATCAAAATTTGTCACTGCAAAAACAGAAGCAGCCCCTCTCAAACATCATTACATGCCACAACTTATTTCCAGTAAGTTCGCAAGACGCCAGTTTGGGGAAATACATCCTCACGACAACCTTAACCCAGATTACACAAGAATCAATTTCAAGTCTAATGAGATCAATTGTGATCTGAGAAACACATTACCTCAAACCTGGGAGTTCAATTCTATTTGCTAATGTAACAAGAGCGTCTTTGCAATTTTGCTCTTTAGACATTACTTCCAGTCTGATCAATTTTGTGTTGTGAAGCACAGGTCGTCAGTAACCCATGCTTGCCATAAAAGGCGGCTATGCTTGTCGTAAGAGGCGACTGACGGGATCGGGTGGTCAGGCTCGTTGACTTGGTTCATGCATGTCATCGATCCAAACTGCGTGGATCGATGCTCATGGTATTAATCACTGGAGTGTCTGGTCACGAGTCCATTATTTACAGACCGCTGTCATATAGCTGGAACATTGCTGAGTGCAGCGTTAAACAAAGAAACCATTTCATTGACACTAACGTTCCATGAAGGTCATTCTTCACCACTTCAATGTCGCAATATCAGGAGTTTCGAATTTTCATCAGTTTAAAGAAGTGTACAAGAAGGTCACTCACCCAGTGGATCAATAGGACTGTCATTGCTTTTATTCTGGATATCTGATTCCTTGTCAGAAGGGTCTGTAAATTGCTTCAGACCAGGTTGGCCGATTTCCCCATGTGTCAATGCGCCTGCTGGTAGGTCTGGTTTGAAGGAAGCTGCTTGCACATGAGGCATCAGCACAATCATCAACAGGGCAAGGCGTTGACAAGACCAATCTGAAAAGGGTGGACATATTTATATTGGGATTAAACGTATGTATAATCTCAAATGTACTGTATATTGTTTATTTTTACAAACCTGTATTAGAAGGAAGGAAATGTGTTGGTAAATGGAGGTTGGTAATTTGAAAGTTACACATACACGTTATGTCATTTACTTTTTCAGATGTTTTTGCAATGGAAAATAGCTACAATATCTGGTACATACTTTTGAACTCAATAAGAAGCGACAAAAGCTCTTTCCTCCTTCATAAGAAATATCTGCTAAAAGCACAGTCGGCTGTATGATTCCGTGTCTGTGAATCAGGATTAAATTGTGAATAGAAGATACCAGGTGTTTGTGAAAAGGTAAGAGTAGCTTCTTAATTATCAGGACGCCACACTCCCACCGTGGAAAAGGCCAAGCTATGTTCTCTGAAGCAGATATCGAAGAAAAGGATTTACTGGGTGGCCTGATACAAACGAGCTGTCGTTGGGGAACTTCCAGCCAAGGGGTTTTCCCTCTGCATCTCATTTCACAACTGCGGAAGACATTGCTAACTTACTGAAAATCCCTCTTGAAGGTCATGAAACTAACGCAGATTCAGAAACCTTTACTTTTCGTTCCGTATTTGCATTATCAGACTTTCATTAGCCGGGATTCTGGGACATCTATGATTATGTCAGTCTCCCATCACCGGCGTGTGGACCCGTGAAGATCCGGGGTAGAATCTTCAGCAACCCATTCTTGAAGTAAAAGGCGACTGTGCTTGTCCTAAAAGCTGACTAACGGGATCCGGTGGTCAGACTCGTTGACTTGGTTGATGCAGGTCGCCGTATTCCAATTGCGTGGATTGATGTTCATGATATCAATCCCTGGATTATCTGGTCCAGACTCGATTATTTACAGACCGCCGTCATATAGCTGGAATATTTGCTGAGTGCGGCGTTAAACAAAAACAACAACCAACCAGCCGGCGTGTGATGAAGGTGCCATAATGGACAAAATGGAAAGAAACACTCCTGATAAAATTCCCTCTTTACAATACATGGAAGCATCCTTCAAGAAATGGTATCGAAAGATGGAACACAGCTGCCTCAAGTCATAGATTACATAGGCCATTGCAAAAAGATTGCTACCCTATGTCAGTCATTTCCTTGGCAGAGCGTCCTACAGAGTGCCAGGGAATACAGACAGACACAGCGTGAACTGCAATTACCCTGGGGGCGATAAGTTCCCTTTTGTTAAAAGAGAACAGCCAAAGCTAAGTGCCCCACCCAGGACGTACACTCGAACTGAGTCAACCTCACGAGTGGGCTAAAATAGACCGGCACTTACACATATCAATATACATCAAATGGAACTAATGTGGTGGTCATCCTTATATACCATGCCCTTTATCTCGTGTTTGCAGCATATGTTTTGCATCCAATCAAAATTTAGTATTGCAGGATGGTACTGTGAGCATGGCACAGCGTCCTCAGCTGGACCAACACTAATTTTTCAGTAATTCCGAGTACCCTAGCCTTCGGCCAACATTCATTTATGAGAATTAATGTCACAAGGGGACAGAGAGGGTGAATGGCTTTTTAACGGGTTATGGGGGCTTTTGATACTGTTTGATATTCTTTTGAAAATATACCTTCAATTGTACCTACTGACGTAAACAATAATATGTCATGTCTTACAGCGAATAACGTCCGAAATTGAAACTAGGGCAGTGTGAAATGGTTTCATACAAGCCCCTCATCATGAAGAGTCATTGTCATGAAGTCATAGAACTCCAGCAGTCAGCATTCCTCGCCGCTTTTCTTTGATAGAATATCGATGCACAGTAGGCTCTGGTAATCGTCGTTTATATTCCGAAGTTATCAACAAAGATCACACCCTTTGTATCCCAGAATACAGTGGCTTTTACTTTAAACACTGATCGCGTGACGACTTCGGTGCCGGAGAAGTGGAATGGTGACATTCATTGGATTGACATTTTGACTCGGGATCATAGTGGCAGACCCATCTTTCATCATTCACCATAGTTACTAATCTATATTTGAATTCGACCCACCTCAATTACATCTAAAATTTCTCCGGCAATGTCAGTTCATTTTTCCTTAAGATCAGAATTAAGAACCTGGTGAACCCAAAGAGCACATATCTTATTCATCTAAATATATTCATAAATAATAGTTTCAATGGATTCATGGCTTAGATCTGTGACTTCCTCAAGTTCAGCAATGGCAATACGTCTATCTCTTTGATTGAATCTTCATTGATGGAAGTTGAGGGACGTCCAGACCTACGGTCATCACCCCATTCTCCCAGCTTTAAACATAGCTGCCCAGCGTTTAACAGTGGAATAGCTTGGGCACTTATCCTCATACACTTGTGACTTGCAGTCATGAATAAACAGGGCTTCAGCCATACAACATACAACATGTTCGTAGAAAACAAACGCATTGTGCTGACAATACTTGAAGGATATTGGGTTGATGGCTCATGTCGATAAAGGACAGTTGGTTGGTTGGTTTGTAATTTAACGCCGCATTCAGCAATATTCCAGCTATATGACGGCGGTCTGTAAATAATCGAGTCTGGACCAGACAATCCAGTGATTAATATCATGAGCATCGACCCACGCAATTGGGATCGATGACATGCATCAACCAAGTCAGCGAGCCTGACCAACCGATCCCGTTAGTCGCCTTTTACGACAAGCATAGTCACCTTTTACGGAAAGCATGGGTTGCTGTAGACCTATTCTAACCCGGAATCTTCACGGGTCGTAACTCGCCGTCGTTCGACGCATATATTTAACCGACCCGTGAAGATCCAGGGTAGAATAGGTCTTAAGCCACCCATGCTTGCCGTAAAAGGCGACTATGCGTGTCGTGAGAGGCGACTTACGGAATCGAGTGGTCAGGATCGCTGACTTGATTGATGCATGTCATCGTATCCCAAATGGTGGTTCGATGCTCATGATGTCACTCACTGGATTGTCTGGTCCAGACTCGATTATTTACAGACCGCCGTCTTAGATAGCTGGAATATTGCAGAGTGCGGCGTTAAACAACACACAAACAAATAATAACATCAAACAACATATTTAACAACTTGTTTGCCTGGTCCAGATTTTATTATGTACAGGCCGCCCTTAATAATATCCTCACCACCAAAAGAAACGCGAATACCATACATGTTGGTTGAAAGATGAAGACCTAATCATATTCAAGAGATAAAAAGTTGGTTCGATGCACCAAGGAACATTCTGGTAATTGCGGGAACCGATGCTCATGAACGCATCACCATTTGTCTGGTGCTCCCGGGATTAGCGTGGAAAGTTTGGAGTGAGTGAGTGAGTGAGTATGGTTTTACGCCGCTTTTAGCAATATTGCATCCATATCACGGCGCGGGACACCACAAATGGGCTTCACACATTGTACCCATGTCGGGAATCGAACCCGGGTCTTCGGCGTGACGAGCGAACGCTTTAGCCACCCGACCGCCCCGGAAAGTTTGGAATCACGTGCAGCATATCGAGATAAGAATAAAGACACTGTGGTAACACTTGACTGTTAGTTTTGTCATTAAGCGGAACACATTGGAAGCATCTCTTCTTAACTTCTCATATACATTTCTACTGTTCGCATTCATTTTGGCTGTGAGAATATGGAGATGGACTATCGAGTCGTGAAGCAGGACACTCAAGATACACTCGTATGTGCTCAACTGATCTGGGCAGGCCACAAGGTAAACATGACTGACGTTTTAGATTGCACGCATTTAAATTGAGCGCTTCATACGAAATGCTACGGATATTACACACGTGTGAAACATACCTCAGCAGAATATTACTTACTTTTCATCGTCTGTATCGTGTCAAACGCCTCTGGTGGTGGAGTGTTTGGTAAAGAAGCCTTGCACCTGGCTTCTCGATCAACTAAGTGAATATGTAGTCCTCAATTACAACCGTGTGCAATGAAAACAGAGAGGTCTTCATTACCAGATTTAGTGGGAAAACGTATTGATCTGTTTGAATGATCCATCATTAAGCTGAACAATTATTTAGTGTCAGCAAAATAGATTCCATCAGAAGGCTTGAATAATCGACATGAAATAATGCTAAGGTAGGCTTGAATACATCCACTATAGTAACATGTTTATTTAATATCGATTTAAAAGCAGTGTCTCCTGTTGGCGAATTTACTAATGGGAGTGATTGTACATTGATAAAGTGCAAATACCGACTCACCAGTTTACTTAGCTTTATACAGAAAGTTTGTACAGTTTGTACAACCATCGAAATGGTGTTACCCGTGCTGAAAACGACTGACCATTAGCTTTTAACGTGTATTTATTTATAATGTCTATCCAATCTAATGAAGATATATAAAAACAGCGATGGACGCTGCACACATTAACTCATTTCTATCACGATCCACCGTTCTTTGTTTAAATGATCACAACAGAGGCTTTCTAGTTTTCTCATTATGATACTCATTTCACAACAGCAATTATACCAAAATGTAGGTTGAAAAGGTTTTTCAAATGGTGTCCCAATCATGGATATGATCACTGTTTATTTTCTACGCCGGTCGCATTCCATATAAGGATATTGTGTGTGAGTGAATGAGTGAGTATGGTTTTACGCAGCTTTTAGCAATATTCCAGCAATATCACGGCGGGGGACACCAGAAATGGGCTTCACACACTGTACCCATGTCGGGAATCGAACCCGGGTCTTGGGCGTGACGAGCGAACGCTTTAACTACTAGGCTAACCGATTGCCCCTAAGGATAGTGTGTCAGGGGCATTTGGAAAGAATAGTACAGGAAACTCCGTAATCCAGGCCCCAGATAATCCAGAAACTGGCATACAAGGAGCGTAGCCTGGTGGTTAAAGCGTTCGCTCGTCACGCCGAAGGCCCGGGTTCGATTCCCGATATGGGTACAATGTGTGAAGCCCATTTCTGGTGTCCC